ATGATTTTTTATATTTCATACGAAATTATTACGTAATGATTTTGTGTTTGGTGGAATACATTGAAAAATAACCACTATTTGGTAGAATTTCATATGGTTTACAATGCTAAAAAAATGATTACACAAAAACCTGGTAACAATGTATCCCTTGATTTTCTCACAAAAGCAACAAAATGCGATAAATGTCAAAAAGAGGAAGAGTACTATGTGTATGAATGTGCAAAATCTTCATTTGATTTAAGTTTATGTTCTTCATGTCGTGATTGTCAAACAAAACGCTGGGTCTGTCCTTTTTGTTGTCAAACATTTACAAAGGGAGATTTATTAAAAAAGCATCTTAATAGATGTTCTAAGGGAAATTGTTCTCTTGCAAAGATAGATACTGTATCAAGATTTAATTGTTGTAATTTTATCATGAACAGTGAAAATTGTTACACTCACATTATTAATTCACATTGTACACATTTGCTAAAATCTAAAGACAGTAGATTACCAAAGCTGACTGAATACGAATCGCAACAGAAGAAGCTAAAACAAAACGGAATTCACTCACAACAAGTTTTAGCTGAAGGTAGTATTTTCGGATTTGCTAATACAATTGAAACTCCCTTTTCAATAATTGACACTCTTTATTTTCCAGTTTCAGAAATATTTCACAAAGAATCGGATGTAAAATGTGAAAAAATTGGAAATTTTGTTTTTAAAGAGCTACCATATGATTTGGGGTGTGAAATTTTAAAAGATGTGAATGGAAAGGGTGTATTTCAATCAAAAGAAGAAATATACTGTTATATTTTGGTTAATCATTTCAAATTGTGTAAAAGTGGGTACGATTTCCTTAGAGATATGTTCAAATACATGGTCCCTGAATCAACTTTTAACGAAATTCCTTGTTACGATACATTACTCGAAAGGAAAAAAGCAATGATCAATTTTGAATACAAACAAGAGGATGGATTTGCAGCAATTTCATTTGAGAATAATTTGAAATTGTTGTTGAAAGATCAAGCAATCACAAAACACATGTGCTTAACACGAAAAGAATATTTTGAAAAAAAGAATATACAAAAGAAAGAAAATCAACCTTACTTTTCAAAAATATTTGGTGAATACCTTGCTAAATGCCCTGAAGATGCATTTCCATTTCTAGTTTTAGAATATTTTGATGATTTTGCTAAATTCAGAACAAAAACCAAGTCAACATGCGCCTCCTATTTCACAAGTTACAATTTTGATTCAGATTTCATGTCAAGTTTAAGCGCAATTCGTGTAAACGGTTTTTCATGGAGTAATGAAGGATTTTGGAAAATGACTGATTCAATTATTCAAGATTTTGAAAATCATGATGGTAAAATCATTACAGTGAAACATCCAACTACAGGAGAAGATATTAAGCTATTCATTTGCTGTATGGGATTTTTATTAGATACACCTGAAAGATTGAAATGTTTAGCACTTATGAAAAATGAATGTTCCAGATGTTTAGATGCGTCAGACAACCTTGACAAAACACCAACAGATTTAATGGGTGCATCCGCGTTTAATCCAACATGTGTACACACATTTAAAAGGAGAGAACATTCAGAAATGAAAGATATTGTTGAGAAATTATCAGAATTACCTAAAATTGCAGATTCTAAACAAAATAGAATTGCAAGGAAAGGTGTAAAAGAACAAACTTGGGAAGAGGAGAGATTCAAAAGTAAGCAAATGTCAACAAACAAAAGAAAACAATTGATGAATCAATTAATTGTCAAAACATTCATCAAATCAAGATTTGTTACTCAAATAATGATAGATCCGTATCGTAGATCTGTAGTTGATTTCTTTCATTTAGAAATTCAAGGATTATTTCGAAAACATCTCAAATTACTTGTACAAGCATTAGAATATGCGACTGCTATGGATGATTTAATTGAAATATCAACAAAGTATACTCTTCCAAATGGAAAAAAGCTTGAATTAAGAATGGATATTGACACTCTTTCAGGTATTTCAATGTTAGATTTTATTATTATGAGTGCTCCTATTATTTGTGAATTAATTTACAATAATAATCAAAAGTTGAAAATAGATTCTTCTAAAAAAGGATTACTCTATCAAGGATGGATTCTTCACTTACAATATTTTATAAGGTTATTAAGGGGGAATTATACTCATGATGATATTGTGTATTGTGAAAAAGTATTTACAAAATTTCAATCCATTTTTACATATTGTTTTGGCAAAGATAATTGCCAATTTCCGAATTATCATTGGGCAACGCACATTTTTGAAGATTGTGTACTTTTTGGGGATGTTACATGGTTTTGGGCGTTGATTTTTGAATTGAAACATTCTGAATTCAAACAATTTAATGATAGAAGTAATAACAAATTACTTGAAGTTAGAGGGTTGCAACATGAAGTTGGAATGAATACATTATTTGCAGATTATCCATTTACAAGACGATTAGTTGGTAAAACACTTGATGTTGCTAGAAAATCATCACTTAAGGTTGGAATGTATATTCAATTCGATAGATTTATTGGGAAGATATCTCAATTAGGGGATAATGTTGTTTGTTGTGATGAAATTTTTACGCTTGGAGAGTTGTGTTATGTATCATTAATGTACAAACTATTCATTCACTCAGTTGCCACTTCAGTAATTCCTCTTTCAAAGATTAATAGCGTGTGCAGTGTAATCAGATTTCCAGGTCTTATTGCTCTCAATCAATTTTCATTCTGTATGAATTATTACCAATAAATACTGGCAATAATTTTCAGTTAATTAATTTCAAAATAAAACAATAATAAATAATCTAATAAAAACTGTAATTTTTATTTGTAATAATTCACATAATTTTATTAAAATTCTTCACGTCATAATACCTAATGTAATACTTCCATAATTCAAATCCGTAATTAAAAAAAAATATTTTTTGCCAGAATTTTGCGATAATAATCCACAATTAACCATAATAGCCGTCTCCAAGGTTGAAAATCTTGAAAAGAATCTTTCAAATTTTCATACAATTTCACAAAATCTTTATTCGATTTTTATTGATATTTGTGGACCTGCCAACTTTCAAAAAGATTAAAGAATCCAGCTCATAAACATTGAAAAACATGTTTTCTAAAATTTGTTGTTTGAAAGATGAGAGTTATTTCTGTATTTCTTTTAAAATAATCTTTCCAATCGATTTGGGAAAGTCAATTCTTAAATACTTGTCATTAAAATAACTATTCTTTCCAAATTGGGCATTTCTGATACATTTTTTTTATTTAATATTGCCGATATTTATGTCTTAATGAATAAATTAAGGAATATAACAGAAGGGGTTATAGCTCAGTTGGTAGAGCGTCTGCTTTGCATGCAGAAGGTCTAGGGTTCGATTCCCTATGACTCCAATTTTTACTTTAATTCAAGTAATTTTGTCAATTATTTTGATTCCTGTTCCATACTTTTAATGTAATGAATTGCATTTGGAATTCCTTGTAGAGCTGCTTTTTTCATCCAGAAAATTGCATGTTTAACATCCACCAAAGTGCCCTCGCCTTTCAATAACATGTTTCCAACATAATATTGACAAATTGCATGACCATTCATTGCTCCACTCATAAATAATTTAAAAGATTCAGTGTAATCTTGAAGACAGCCCATTCCCCTATCGTACATTGTTCCTGCATTGTATTGAGCTTCTGCATGATTTCGTGTAGCTGCCATTAAAAAGTATTTCAAAGCCAATGGATAGTTCACTTCAACTCCTCTACCTGATAAATACATAACTCCAACATGATAAATACATTCAACATGTCCCATATTGGCACCTTGTAAAAATAATGGAAATGCTTTCGAATAATCCTGTTCAATATTTTCTCCTTTCTCATACATGGATGCTAAATAAGTAAGTCCCTCAATACAATTATTCACAACAGATTGATTCAACCAATAAATTGCCTGTTGAATATCTTTTTCAGTTCCCTCCCCTCTGTCAAACATCATTCCAACATAAAATTGACTGACTCCATGCCCAGCAACAGCAGCTCTAAAAAACCAATTAAATGCTTCCTTCACATTCTTATTGCATCCTTGCCCTCTATCATACAGCAATCCAACATTAAACATGGCAATTGAATTTCCATTATTTGCCGATTTTCTATACCAAAACAAAGCCTTTTCAAAATCGATTGGTAAATTAGCCTTTCCAAAATAATGAAAAGAACCTATTTGTCTTTGTATTGTCGAATTATTTTCCTCAAATTTAATCATTAATTCCAAAGCCTTTTCCTCATCAATTGGCGATTTATTATTTCCTCCGAATTGATAATAATTTAATAATTCATCGAGTGCTTGTTGATCTCCTTCATTGGCTCTTCCCTCCAAGAGCAGCAAAGAGTCGCTACTCATCATGTGCTGGACTGGATTTGATAGGTTCAGCGCATGTTCTTGTTGCATTTTTTTAAAAGTGGAAAAAAGTGGAAATTGTAAACTCAAAAAAAATTTAAACGTTTATTAATCGTATGAACCCGACGGGTTCGTCTTGATGATATTACGAATATTAAATAATAAATTCTTTCTTGTTGGGATTGCTTTGTTCATTTCTTGTAACTCTGTGGACACAAATACTTGGCTTGAACACCCTATGCTGGAACCCCGGGTAGTATAGGGTACGGTGTAAGTATTGCGGCAACACACTGTGGTCTCAGGGTCAACAGTGTAGTTACTGGGTGGTACGACATTTTTTTTTGAGACGGTAAACTCAAAAAAAATGGCTACACTCAAACTTGGTGAAGGTTTGATATTTCTGCCTCGTTGTTTGTCATCGGAAGGATGTAAACAAATTATTGCAGAAAATAGTAAAAAAATTAAATCTTTTTATAATATTGAGATTTTTAACGATCAACAACTTTCCGATAAAATATTCGAAAAATGTAAAAACTCAATTAGACAATTAATTGGAATTAATGATTCAGATGAAGATGACTCGAAATTCCTTCCTGTTGGAATTGATTCTTTATGGGCCGTGATAAAAGATAATATTTCTTGGTCTTTTTCTTGCTCAAAACGTTGCACACATGAAAACTTGTCAAATGAATCGAAAGGTCAGATGAGAATATTTATTCAGTTGAGTAAGAGTTCGGATTCAGATTCGGTTTGTATGGAAAGCAGATATGGAACAGTGGATGTTGGTAAGATTAAAAGAGGAGATGCCTTCATTACATTTGAACCAAATCAGTATAGCATCATCAACAAACAAACAATGAAAGATAACATATTTCTAATTGGATATGTAATTTTCGAAAAGAATCAACAATATGAAAACAAGCTTGCTGCAAAGTATTGTAATGCTCAAAGTAATTTAATGAGCTATGAGTCTAGTAGTGAAAAATCTATAATTTTGAATATTTCTGGAAAGGAATTTGAGATACCAATAATTCAAATTAGAAAATTCCCTCACTCGATATTGAATATTCTAATTGATAGTCCAATGGCCGAGGATGTGATATTGAATGAAAAATTACAAAGAGTATTTCCATTTCCAAATCAAAATGTTGTGATTTTTGAACGATTTATTTTACCAATTATTTTGGAATATTCCTATTTAGATATACCAATAGGATTGAAACACTCTTTACAGTTAGAAATTAGTAATGAATTCAAATTTTGGGGATTTCTCTCTCCCTATGAAAGCGAATCATTATCAAAAGATAATCAGTTCTCAAACAAGAGGTTTCCATTCAAAAGTACAGAACTTTCTCTCATTTCGAATGCATTATATTCCCAGTTAGAAAATGAAAAGAAAATAATTGAAGCAAAAATCTCAGTTATGAACGCGTTTGGAAATATTCAGAAAAAGATTCTTCACGACTTTACCCACCCTCACAACAAACCATTCGAATCTCTTTCTCAAAAAGAAAAAGTTGAAACTATTGGCAAAGTCTCTGTAAATCTCATGCACAAATTTGAATGCGTTCCATTGGCTAAACTCTATGATAATAACTATTTCCTTATTGGATCAGATAGGTTTCTCTATCACACTTGAATTTCATTGTGGATCACGAAAGTTCAGAAAAGAAAGCATGCTCAACCAACATTACACCTGGCACCAAGTATGGCGATATTCATTCAGATATTAATGGAATAGTTTGGAGAAACTCCCAAAATTTCAAAACTGCACAAGAGCTAGAGGATCATTGTGTAGGTTGTGGAATATTTCTTTCAACTGATTTGCTAAAATCCAGAGCTCAACATGAACATTTCTGGAAGGGAGATGGAGTTCACAATGATGAATATTTTCCAGATTATTCACTTTTCAAGTTGAGTGTCATTTTGATTAATATCCAATCCTTGCAAAACAAGCAATTTTCACTTCAACAATAATGGTCCTTCAATTCGCTCCGAAAGTAACCGTTAAACAATTTCAAAAAAAATAAAACAAGATGAAGAAGTGAGAAACGGTCATTAAGAGCTTAAAGGAGAAGGGTAACCCTGAGGAAAACGTCTTCTCCAATGGATCCAACCAACCTGTTACCCTGGATAAACCTGGATAAAGGAAACAGTTGTAGATGGTTATTTCACAATCTGATCTCTCTATCGTGACTACCATGTAAATTAATTGATCTTTAGAGAACACATTATCTGTTCACTATCAATAAACAGAGCCAGCCATTACAATGCGCATCATTTCACCACAAGCGCTAAACAATAAATAATTGTACCAAACAAACGAACTGCTCATTGCACTTCTCCAATAGATCAAGACAATAACAATGACATCAGAATTAGCACACACAACAAGAATCCACTTTGAAGAACCCAGCTTGTTGCTGATGGATGAAAAAAGCAAAGCGAATAATCAAAAAAATTGAAGATTGGAATGAATGTCGATCATTGCACTGATCATACAATAAGAAGAACAAGTAGTAGTAGTAGAATGGAAGATGTAGATGAGGATGCTGATCGTGTGGGGAGAAGATTGTGTTTTTATAAAGATGAAGTAAAGAATGATGTGATCCGTGAACAATTTGGGAATAGACATCATGATGATGCTGAATATATGGCCAATTTGATAGGAAAGGTCATCATGATGTTTGGTGTATCATCATTGTGTAGTAGTACTATCTTATTGCCTTCTTTGCGAAAATCACAGTCTTCTTCATCATCATCAAAACTTGTATTATTACTTCTTTCATCAATATTAATATTACTATTAACAACAATTAATTCATCGAGTAGCTACTTTATGGTCGAGTGTTCATCCTCTCCATCACCATCATCTAGATTTGTATCATATCTTCAACAGTCATCAATGTATTCTAAATTATCTTCATCCTACAATAACTTATTCAACAATAAGAATTCAATACTCTCTCAGCCTCATGATGATCAACAAGAATTTCCAACAGGCTTGGATTGTTCCTACTTTTCCAATAGTAATAATAACAATAATAAGAATTTGGAAAGTTGTAATTCACTTCCTCTTGAACATTCTCCCTTCTCCACCTTCACCATCAGATTAACTGGAGGAACTGATGCTGTTTATGGAACTTCCTATCCACCAATTCTCTATCCTCTTTCCTCTACTTCCACTTCTAAATTATTTAATAATCACAACAATATTAATAATATTAATCAAAACAATTATCATGATGTAAATTCTATGGAATCAACATCCGAAGAAACTATAATAACAACATCTTCTATTGATCGAGATGATCAGCAGCATGTTTTAATTCCTAATAATCAAACTAGTTATTGCTATCAAGTCCAAAAGTGGTTGGATCAACAAGGTACATTAGCAACAACAAATCAACAACAAGAACAAGAAATTGGAGTTGCTCTCTCACAAATACCAACCATGTGTTCCCAATTCTTTTGCAATCCGAAAGACTCTTCTAATCGATTGATCATTCAGGAGATTTTCAGTAATTTGTCCAGGTCTTTGAGTGAAAATTCATTCTTTCCAAGTGTCGTCACTACACAATTCTCCATAAAATTGACATTGGAAAATTCAAGTGAGATTTCTGGAAGTAATTATTATGAAGAAGAAGAAGAGCCAACAACTGGTTGGATTACAATGACAATTTCACAACTCACTAGATTATATAATTATTGTCATTATTGTAAGGTGGGAAATCCCTCATTTGAGTTGTTCAAGAAGGAGAGAGAAGAGGGACAGTGTACTTTGCCATTTAGTATGAATGCTTTGAAATCTGCTTCTGCCTCCAGTAAGGACAGTTCAACAAACATGACCACTGCTGCTATGAAGAGTGACTTGTTGGGATTAGAAACAGATCAGGATATTTGTGGACAGAAGGGATATTCTCTTCCTCTCCTCAATACCATGACCTATTCTTCTCTGAATGATCCTCGCTTACTCTACTATTTCCCTTACAGAGTTTGTTATTGTTATTCGAGTTCAAGTTTTTCTTCCAAGTGTGATGAGTGGAGTGATTTGTACTATACTAACGACTTCCAGAATGGAATTAGAGGAATGTTTATTGGACTCTATTTGATTCAGCTCTTGCTCATCATTGCCATTGTGTTAATTCCATTACTGTACAAGCATGTTAGATTGGGAACACGTTCATCTTTAGCGAGAATTACCACCGATACCAGCTCAACACAAGATTTGCAAGCCAAGTTGACCTTTGATGAGAATTCCTATTCTTTCAAATTGATCAGTGAAACTACACCTAAGAAATCATTCAAACAACGTTCCAGATCCAACTCTCCTTCTGTACTCCCAATACTCGATCAAAGTTCTGACAGTGAGGACACTATTACTAGTTCATATTACAAATATGAAACTGAAAAGACTGAAAAAAACACACCAGAGATTGATACACCCCTCCTCAACCTAGGTACTCCAAAGAGGAGAAAGACCAATTGGAAGAGAGTATTTAAATCACTTGCCAAATCTGTATTTGACTTTAGAATTATTGCAACAATTATTTCCATTACAAATTTAATTGCAGGTTTCTTGAGTTTGATTCCATCCCTTCCCTATGATGCTAGATTGGTACTCATTTCTATAACTTGTGTTCTCTCCTTGATGGGATTGATTCCAATTGTCTTCCAGTGGTTGGTTGTTTTGAGAAAGATTGACAGCCAAGATCCAACTTCTCATTCTGGTCGTCACATTAAGGCTCTTTCTATTGTTGTTTTCACATCAACAATAATGTTATTTATTGGATACATGCTGACTGTGATTTTTGTGAGTGGATATTCAAGTGTTCTATTGGCCAGATATATCATGTTGGTTGTCCTGTTCTTGTACTTTATCATTTGTTTCCCTCTATTGGTTGGATATGGAATTAAGGTTTATTTTAGAGTGTTGAAGAATAATAACGAGATTAGATTCTTCCAATTCAAGGTTTGTTTTTTAAATGATACAATAATTGTGAAATAACTCTATCAGTTTACAAAGTATTTACTCTTTGAAAGCTTGACCTACTTGTATTTTACATGCTATACAGTGTATTTTATAATTTCCTATCCTTATTTCCTCACTACCTTCAATAATATTGGAGATCGTTTCATGTCTGTTTATCCTTGGTCCATCACTCACATTTTCATCATTCTCTCACATTGCAACAGATTTTACTTCCTCAGTGATACTAGTTTTATTAAGATTTTCTACACCAAGCATTTGTGTTGTTGCCTTATGAAGAAGAAGAAGAAGAGGAAGCTTCACCATTCTTCCAAGCCATCCCCACAACAATCAAAGGTCCAATACTATGAACAGAGTGGTACAACAAGTGTGACAACAAATACACAAAGAAAAATCAGCTCTGCCTCAACGTCCTCCTCCGTACACGATGATTCTTCGATATCCTTTTAACACACACAAGGTGATGCTGCACAATGTTTGCATTTTTCAAAGATCATCGACAAATAAAGAGATGATCAAATGTACATTTCCATTTTTGAGTTCCTAATATGAATCTAAAGTTGAAGCTTCATCCCCACACACAGTTGGATTTGCACAATTCAGGGTTAAAAACTTGTTTACGGGGCAGTAATATTTTACAATGAAAAGTTTTTACCAACACCAACACTTCAAATTGGACAAGTTTGCACATCTTAATATTTTCACACAAAAAAAACAAAACAAATAACCTTAATAGCAAAAATGTTCAAACATACCATTTTGTGTGGATTTGTCCTCATCTTGATTCTCTCCTGTTTTGCAAATGCTCAAACATGCAACAACACTGCAATTCCTTTCCAAGCTACTGCTTGTACTGGTTGTAAGACATGTACTGGTGTTGGTTCAGGTGTTTCTTGTTGTGACGCTACAATGGATGCATTAATTACTTCTCAAATCGCCGTTAGCAATGTTTTAGGAGGTCTTTCCCCAGAATGTACTGCAAAAATTACCAAAAAAAGTTGTGCCATTTGTGATCCAAAGAATCAAGGTTATGTTACATATTCTCAAGGCCAATATGAAGTTTCAGTCTGTAAATCTGCTTGTTTGGAGATGAAAGCTGTTTGTCCAACTTTAGCAAACTTACTTGATTGTACTGCCTATCCTGAAACCAATTGTTGGAGTGCTGCTAATTCATTGAATCAAGGAGCTGCAATTTTGTTCATTCTATCTATCCTTGTTGCCTTGTTCTTCTAAATCTGTACTACAATTTCTAATAAAAAGTTGTACCAATGAATTAGCAATGTTTTATGGAAGTTTGGGTTCAGCATCTGAACTCTGCGTATTCACCAAAGAACCTTTATGAATTCTATTCTGTATCAGATTCTATTACAATCTGAAGAGAAGAAATCATTGTGCAACAAGTGAAGTACTAATCTTTTATCAAGTTGTTGCTTCTCATGGTTTTTGAGTCACACAACGAAATTTGATCTTAAGTATTGAATGTTTTCCTAGGCAAATTCCATTAACTGTTCGTCTTCCTCGTGCTGTTCTTCATTTAAGGCACCAAAAATCAGCATCTTTCCGTTACTTTTGAATATTGAATCCACGTGATGGTTTCTTGTTTGTTGGTCGACATTTTTTTTGAGCTTAATAAATATTGACATCATGTTTATGCTTATTAAAATTATCACGCTCGGATTAAATGTGTAGAATCTGAACAATTATGTTCTTTATTTTTTATTGAAATAAAGTCTTGTATTTATACCGTTGAAATCAAAACTATATGTTGTAAAGAACATGAAATTAAAATCCGAAAATGTAAATTTCGTAATTTGCCCCTTTTCCTTCTTCAATTCGGTAGAATTCTGAAACCAATTGTAGGACTACTGCTAATTCATTATGGATCAAGGTGCTACCATTTTGTTCAAGAGAATACTATTCCTTATTCTTCTAAATCAGCAACAATGTAATCTAATAAAAAGTTTTGGCAATCTAATAGAAACTCAAGTTTGGTTGGTTGATTGTGAGTAATAAGGAAGGTGAAATAGAATCTTGAACGTTTCATGAAATAACTGTTACTGAACTCTGTGTCAATGAAAGAACCTTCTTCTTTCCTGCAATTTCATGAATCAAAACTGAAGACAGCTGACAAGATAACATCCTTTCACAACATTCCACATTCCTTGGACATAAAACTATTTAACCAGCTCACCTCACTAACAACATTCAATTAAAAAAAATAGACATGAAGCTTTTAATTTCTCTTCTTCTTCTGGTCAACTTGCTTTCATTGGCAAGCACAACTTTGGCTGTGTCCACTTGTAATGGCATTCTCGCAACTGAACAAGATTCGTGTGGTAGTCATGGAGTCTGTAACTATGGTACTTGCTATTGTGTCGATAGTGTCTATCAAAACTCCATCTACTCTGCTTGGACAGCTGACAGAAGACAAACTTTAGTTCAGGGAGAATCTCTCGTGTCCACAGATGGAACCTTTACTTTGGCCATGAAATCGAGTGGTGTCTTGTCTCTTATGAATTCTATTACAGCTGAGGAGAAGAAATCCTATACTGCTACAGGTGGAAGTGGACCATATGTCTTGGCTTTGGCCACAGATGGTTCCTTGTCCATAAAAGGAAATGGTGGGAGTACTAATCTGTTAGGATTAGCAAGTAGTTGTGGTTCTGGAACAGCTCCTTTTAGATTAGTTTTACAAAATGATGGTAATTTAGTTCTCTACGGAGCTCAAGAGGAAGTTTGTTGGGAAACCCACACTTGGACAGCTGGACTTTCGAATACCTATTTATGGGAAGGACTAAACTGCACCACTCCATTATGTTATAATGTATTGTCCACCTCTAGTTTAGTTTGTTCTGGTCATGGCTCATGTCCATCTCCAAATAATTGTGTCTGTTCTGATGGTTATCATGGAAACAAGTGTCAATTTTTTAATTGCATTTCCAGAGATAATTGCAGTTTAGATCATGGAAGTTGTATATCAGCAAATACTTGTTCCTGTCAATCTGGATGGAAAGGAAATGTCAACTGTTCTCAATTTTCATGTGATGGCGTGAATTATTGTTCTGGACATGGACAATGTGTTTCGAATAATACATGTCAATGTGATGATTATTGGCATGGTGAAAATTGTAAAACTCCGTCTTGTGAGCTAGTTGATAATTGTAATGGTCATGGCTCATGCGTTTCGAATAATACTTGTATGTGTTATTCAGGATGGAAAGGAGATTCTAATTGTTCCTTATTTAGTTGTGAAGCTTTAAATCATTGCAATAATCATGGACAATGTGTTTCGAATAATTCATGCGAATGTAATTCTGGCTGGAAAGGTAATTCTCATTGTTCAGCTATTAGTTGCGATTCTTTGAATCACTGTTCAGGTCACGGTTCATGCATTTCAAATAATACCTGTTCATGCGAATCAGGTTGGAAATCAGATTCTTCTTGTTCTTCCTTTTCTTGTGAAGTTTTAAACGAATGTAATGGAAATGGACATTGTGTTTCGAATAATACATGCGAATGCAACAATGGTTGGCTTGGTAATTCTGAATGCTCAAACTTTACTTGTGAAACTTTAAACAATTGTTCAGGTCATGGTCAATGTGTTTCGAATAATTCATGTTCATGTGAAAGTGGATTCAAAGGAAATGCTCAATGTTCTGTGATTAGCTGTGATGCTTTGAATGATTGTTATGGTAATGGAAATTGTGTTTCGAATAATACGTGTGAATGTCAAGTTGGTTGGAAGGGAAATTCTCAATGTTCACTTTTCACATGTGAAATTCTTAATAATTGTTCTCATCATGGTGATTGCGTTTCGAATAATACTTGTAGCTGTCATTCAGGATGGAGAGGAAACTCTCAATGTTCTCAAATTTCATGTGATGCCTTAAACGAATGTTCAGGTCATGGAAGTTGTGTTTCGAATAATTCATGCGAATGTAATTCTGGTTGGAAAGGTAATTCTCAATGTTCAACAATTTCATGTGATGCATTGAGTAATTGCAGTAATCATGGAACTTGCATTTCCAATAACACTTGTTCATGCAATACTCATTGGAAATATCTCGATTGTTCCATTATTGAATGTTTGATGGATTTAGACAGTGACAGCAACGAATTGACATGTTCCACTGGCTCTGAAACTGAAACCTTTGTAAAGATGTCATCAAATACTTGGGAATATTTGGTTCTGAGTTTGGCAAATGAAAAGCAATTGATTTACGTTGAGGATGGTTCTACTTTTGGATTGAATTTATCGTCCAATAGTTTTTATTTCAGCACTTCTTCAACTCGGTCGAATGAGCAATTTTATTCGAATGTTACTAATTTCATGATTCAGAATGCCAAATCAGAGTTGATTCATATTCAGTTATCTAAGCAAATCAAGTATTATTTCAGTGGTTTGATTTTTGATGTTTCCAATTATAATTATACTTGTTTGAGATTTGATTATGATTCGAATAGTTGGACGAATCAATTAGTTACCTCATCCTTTTCCACCTCTAATCAAATAATCTGTTCTACTTCCTACATTTCCTCTGTTGCTGTCCAGAGATCAGCTCTCACAAATCGTTCAGCTTCTTCAACGGTCAGTACTGGAGATTTATCAGTCATTTTAATTGCAATTCTAGTTCCAACTTTCTTCCTTCTAATGTGTTTGTGTATGATTGCATTGATTGTGTCTATTGTAATGTTTGTATTGAATAGAAAACAACAGGGAAATCTTCCTTCTCAATCATCACAGTTCGAATTATAAAATCTGTAATTATATCTCTATGGATATGTTCTTCTCAATTCCCGAACAAATTCAATGTGTGAAGACATGAAGGACCACTCATGAACAATATACGAAAGTTGAGACATTACTTTTTCATTATCCAATGGCTCTACGTTGAATTCATTAAATCCAAATAGCAGCCACTTCATACCATATTGATGTTGTAATTTTGAATTGAGATGAATTGCAATCTGACAAAAGTGTGAAGAAATTTTTCCAACACGAGTTAAATTTCCATCACAAGAAAATGATTTCTGGTTGTTGCTATAATTATTGTTCCAGAATATTACATTCGTATTTTCAATGCTAGTGAGCTTTTTTGGATTTTCTATTACTTGTATCAGGTCCTCCTTGCTGTTGAATGGAGGCAAAGTGTTCTTGTTTCTTTTCAGAGCTGATTTGAATGATTTGAAAATCTCCGTGTCTGTTCCTGAAAATAGAGGTCTTGTGATAACCTTACTTCCTCTATTGGTATTGTATTTGAAATCAGTAATAACCTCTAATTTCTTCTTGTCAATCATCACATTATTTAAAGCTGGATTACCTTCCAAATCCAATTGACTATATTTTCCAACAATCATGTTAATATTATCTGGATCACTCAATTTGTTGTGTCTCAAATCCAGATAGGCCAAATATTTATGACTATTCAAAGTTTCCAGGTCAATAGTTTCGATTTCATTATTGCTAATTTTCAAATTGTGAAGTGCTTTTGACTTGATATTAGGAATCTTTTTCAACTTGAGGAATTCACATGTTAAATTTATAAGCCTTTCCGTATCTATCCATTCAATAAATTCAATATTAGATTCTATGCCATTTTTCATAAATGAGCACTTATTCAATTTCAAAGATTGAAGTAGATTCAACTCTAGTTTTTCTATATTAGAAAACTCAATAGAGCAATTATTCATGGTTAATAAGGTTAAATATTTTGTTGTGTGCAATACATGAAAGTTATTAACATTCGTAGGTGTGAGTGATAATTCAATATACTTCATTTCAAAACTAGGTGGTTTGTTGTTTGAGAATTTGGGAAAAGCAACATCTTCAATATTTGTAAGTGATTTTGCCTCTACATTATAAGAATTCGCAAACAAACTAAAATTACAATCAACAAGATGAGATACTAGAGGTGGGTCTGAAATAGTGATTGTTTGAAATTGAAATAAATTCGCCAAGTTCTTCAGGGAACTATAATCACTTCCAGTAATAGTACAACCATTGCCTATTGTAATCCTAATCTTATTTCTATCATTCACATCCATTTTAGATAAGGTTTCAGCCAAACTAGCGATAGAGTAATAAAAGCCGGAAATGGAAAAATGCACCTCTCCAAAATTAATCTTTTCAAGAATTGGTTTTGTGATAGAAATGAAATCATTCCTGAAATATCCTGCTGAAAGTTCAATCTTCTTCACATTCTTCCCTGCAAACAATTTTAAGAATGGTTCATAACTATCGATATCAGCCTGTAACAATCCAAAAGTATTAACCCTATTGAATGATGGGCTATCAAGCTTTTTCATCAACTCGGCATGGTTCGAATAATAGTTGTTTCTATAACAAATACTCAATGACTTGTTACTCTTTCCACAATATTCAATAACTTTATCCACTAATCCTCCAACTACTTCCAGATAAATCTTTATCCCATCCGCAAAATGCAACAACGATGGAAATTCCCTTTTCCTATATTGATGATGATTATTAAAATCACTCCATCGTTGATGACACTTAAATGCCTGTTCATTAACTCTAACCAAATACCGAACATGGTGCTGTTTGCTCACCAATCGTGCCACCTCCCTACACGTGAGAAATAAATTTTCAAAATCTGCAAAGCAGAAGAACGGAAGCACTTGATCAATAAAAAAATAGCCATCCGATAATAAAAAAATTGTATCGTAGAAAATCGAAGGCTTCCTTCGTTGTTGATTTGTTTTCATTTTTTTCTCTCCATTATTAAGAGGCAAAATTCGGACACCGAATGCATTAAGGTTTTATTATCTGTAAGAAACAGATCTTGATAATAATGCTGTTATATACGAAATAAACCCGTATAAAAAATTATTCAGTAATATTCGGTCGCATCATTCTTACATGCAAAAAATATCTTTGGACACACCGATTCGTAGTTGTAAGAACTTTGAAAAATATTTCAAAAATATTGAAACAACATCAGGTACATCACGACTCTGTTGATTCTTGGAGTGATTTCACATCTATTAACTCCAAGAATTTCACCACATCATCTCATCATGATTTAAATAACAGTATTAATAGTAATTTTTGGAATTTAATTCTTCATCATGATTTGGAAATAATTTTATTATTTGGAAAAATTCAAGTTGGTACATCATCATCGAAACAACTACCAACCATCATCATTGTTATTTATCATCATTATAATAGTAATATTTGCGGAAATAAATCTGATAATAGTAATATTTTAGTGAAATTGAATATTTTCACTAAAATCATCATCACTGCCAGATGCACATGATAATTTGGAAAACTTTCAATCTAGTATTGTTCAGCATGGTCGATTCCATCAGGTAAAATAACTTCCGAACATTTCCCTATTGGTTATCATGATGTTAGGTACATGTATATTTTCACATGTACATAGACTATATCTCAACATGTACTTCACCAACTTGGAAAATGTCTTTCATCACTACTATTCAAATACATAATAAACAATATATTTATTATAAGTTTTTCATCATTTTGTGTTTTTGTCAACTTCGGGTTATTCATGGTCACCAATCATGATTCATGCCAAAAGTACACAGCCAATCATCTTGAAACATTAATAAACTTTTATTTGTACTATTGTAGATGTACTATATCAATTGTTTCGTCTTGTTTCGTTGAAATCATGAAGATTTTGATTTTTCTGTTTTTAATTAAATTTCATATCACCTACACCATATTTGTTGATGTAAACTAGACAAGTTACATGTAAATAATCCATTGTTGATTCTCTAATCATGTTTTATTGTGTTTTTGTGTATTTAGGTTTTTGAAATCTTGCAAATTATTCTGAGGTTATTCTTCATATAAATATGATTTCTCACTTCATGATATGAGGAGGGATTGATATCATGATTGTTTGGAAATGTTGTACAAATTTTGGACACTCCCTGAATTGAAATCAGGAAGAAAGAGTCTAATCTTTAACACCATATAAAATATGACTTTTCACGATGGTTTTGGTCTTATTGGTTGTTCCTCAAATATTGGAAAAGGAGAATGATAAACACCTTTGCTCAACATATCCTTTATTTATGGAAGTTATGACCATAAGAATGAATTTCGCATTACCAAACCATGCGAATTTATTTAGTATGAAATTTATTCGCATAAATTTTATTCGAATATAATTGCCTGGAACAAATGCATTAATATATTTGTTGCAATTATTAAATTTCCAATTAATTAAATTTTTTGTAATTTTATTTAAAAAAAAATGTCTGATCATAGAAAAATCAAACCCGAAGAATTTAATCTAGTCTTGATTGGATTTGTAGACTGCGGAAAATCAACACTTGGTGGTCAATTGGTAAGAAAAATTAAACCACAAGTTTATGAACAATTAAAGCGTCAATGTGAGCTTTATCAGCAAGGACAACAAGCGATTTTTCAACGATTTGGAATTCAATCATGGATGGGAAATAGAAATCATTTTCATATCTCTTCACTCATGCTGGATTCTCCAACTCAGGCAGAGAGAGAAATAAGTACTGATGTGAATGCTAAACATGTAATTGAATTGTCTGCTTGTCAATTTCGGATTATTGACACACCTGGACATGGTGATTTTATAAAGAAGACAATTCAAGGGATTTCGATGGGAAATGTTTGTTTGATGGTGGTTAGTGCATCTGATGGAGAGTTTGAAGCTGGATTCCACCGAGAGAATCTATCATTTTCTTATAAGCAGCAACTAATTTATTCAAAAGTTGCTGGAATTGAGAGGTTCATAGTGTGTGTCAATAAGATGGATTGTGTGAAATATTCAGAGAAGAGATTTTTGGAAATTAAAACAAGTATTGGTAAATTAATCAAGACAGTTGGAATCAAGCAAGAAATTCCATTCATTCCAATTTGTGGAGAGTGTGGAGATAATGTTTTTGAGAGGTCAGAAAATATGAAATGGTATTGTGGAAAAACACTCACTGAAACGTTGAATAATATGGAAACCAACTTTCAAAGGACTGTTGAGGAATGTTTGCGAGAGCCATTGAGAATTGCAATTTTTAAACCCAAGTTGCCGAATGGCATTCTTGCTGGATATATTATTAGTGGAATGGTTAAGGTTGGAATGACAGTTCAAATTCCACGAGTGCATAGTGGAGAATTGATTAATGTGAGAGTGAAGAATATTCAAATTTCACATACCAACAAGGAGAGAGCATTTTCCAACTCTCTGGTTGGTATTGAATTCGATAATCTGCCACCAACTAAAACTGGTTACATAATAAGCGATCCATATTTTTCACCATGTAAGGCAGCATCCAGGTTTATAGCACAAATTTCAATAATTAATACTCCTAAACCCTCAATAAGGGCTGGTTATGCTCCAATAGTACATTGTGGGCTAGCTTTTGCCAATACTAAATTTGAGAAATTGATTGGGATATTGAATCCTACAGATAGCTCAATAATAATTGAGGAAAATCCATCCTGTCTTGAAATAGGAGATGTAGCACTTGTTGAATTGGCACCTACTGTTCCATTATTTGTGGATAGCTACAATGATTGCAACAAACTTGGAAGAATTATAATTAGGGATGGACGTGCAACTATTGCTGTTGGTACCATTGTTAAAGTCAATTATAGAAGGAACCAATTTACATTATTTCCTAACAAGTTTAATTATATTGTCAAGTCACCACATCCATTTACAGATCTTTCAATTATCAATAGAAAATAATGATGCTTCGGATTGGCATGTGGTTGAGTAATATTTCGATGATTCATCTCTGCAAGCCAATATTATGTTTGGCTCCTTTCCCACCAGGAGAAGAGTCGTTCCGTTGTAATTGTTGTAATCGGCAAAACAACAGTGAACTTGGTTTTGAACATCAGAAAAAAATGGCTCCAAAACACATCACACAATTCTCATCACTTCCCTATGAAATTTATCAACACATTTTATCGTTCGGAGTGGGAGATTCCGAATTGCTGAAAAAGAATTTTTCGAGTGGGAGCAGTGAAATACGATCCTATGTACGATATATGGCTAATTTTCAATCATTGAATAGGAAGATTGCTAGTATGCCAGAGATGGAACGATATTTTGATAGATTTTGGTGGAAGGTTTGGGAGATTTGGTTTGGAATTAATCCATCTTTGGAGAAGGAGTTTAGTTTACTGAAGGAGGAAATGATTCTAAAGAGAGAATTGAAGAGGAAAGTGCTGATGGCTGCATTTATTAAGTTTCACATTTGGGGAACACCTAAAAAATTGGATGGAATTGAGAAAACTAAAGTGGTGATGATTGGAAAGGGAGGAGTAGGTAAGAATTTAATAATTTTCTGTTAATAGGTTAATTATTTTGAAATAGGAAAGTCTGCAATGACAGTGAAATATATACAAGATTTCTTTATTGAACAATATGATCCAACAATAGAGGATGTTTATAGAAAACAATTGTTGGTTGATGGTTTTCCTACATTATTTGAAGTTTTGGACTCTGCTGAACATGAATACAGTGTAAGTTCTTTAGAATAATGCCATTCTAAACTAATTAAATTTATCAAGTCCGCGAGAGATCATTTTATGAGATATGGAGAGTGTTTCGTTCTTGTTTGTGATTTGGTAGATAGTAATTCAGTGGAAGAAGCCGAACCACTTGTAGAACAATTAGTAAGAGTTAAGGACTTTGAGGAAAATAGCTTTCCAGTAGTATTTGCCTTAAATAAGGTCGATTTATTGAATGAAACAGATCGACCAATCACCATTGAGAAATTTACTAACCAAATTGCTACCATCATTAAACAATCTCAATTGACCAATACTTTCATCATTGAAACAAGTGCCAAGACGGGAGAAAACATTATTCGAGTATATGAAGAATGTGTAAGACTAAAGAGATATGGATCAGGTGATAATCTGAAACTCCTGAAGGAAGTCATTCAACACGATTCTGCATTCATTGAAACTTGTAAAAAGCAGAGAAAGTTGATGAAACAATCGAAAAAATGTTCTGTAATGTAAAATTGTTTTCTTTGAATATGACTGTATACAGTCAGTCCATCGTAATACACTTGTGCCCACTTATTGCTTTTTGTAAAGGAATACCTATTTCAATATATTGTTGTAATACACGTGTAATGAAATATATTTTTTGTAGCATTTTTGCTTAATATAGTCCTAATGGTTTATTTTCCAGCGCGACCTTGCGTTTCTAATTCAAACTTTTCAAAATAATTGATTTTACAAAAATCTCTGGGCTCCTAGATCCTTCGCTTGTCAGCAAGTTAAAATGCATGTAGTGGAAGTTGATCTGTTTCACATCATCGCGAGGATATCAAATAAACGAAATAGATAGTTCCAGTGCGGGACACAAGTTCTTTCCATTTCACAATGTGGTGTTTACAGAAACCAAACTAAACACCAAAAAAATAACATTTATTCGAAAGTATGGAAGCTGCGTATCAACATATTGTTAAGGAGGAACATGCAGACTTGTTGCTCACTCATCAATATATTTTCTTCTCTAAGGATTTCAAGTTGGTTTCACCAATTGATGATTCGAATGGAGTTTCGTCCAATCCAGACGAAAAGCCATATTACATGCTGTTCTTGTTGCATCCACAGAATCCCATGCTTGCCAATATCTACCACAGTGCTTCCATCAAGACTATGAAAGATATTGGAAACAAGACGAATCTCGAAACTAATCCTCTCCACTCATGGTTTCAACAGGAATTAATGGCCATCGACAAGGAAAAGGAATCTTTCGACGAATACTTTTACTATCTGAAAGGAAAGAAACTTGTTTCCATGCTCAAAGTTCACGATAACATATTCGAAAGGTGGTCTCAATATTCACAATTCAAACATTCTTCTCACCACTTTCTCGTCTACCTCAAAGTCTTGAATCCAACACCACATTCCAACGAAAACCCACTGGACGAAACAGCCGAAACTGATCTATTCCAAGCAACTCCCTGCAGCATGATCGCCTTCTCCATAAAGGATGCCTTCGTCGATGGAATGAAACACAAAATAGCAGTTATCGGTTCTGCATGGGTCAATCAAAAGATGAGATCCAACAATCATACAAAATATCTAACCATGTACATGGCAGCACTTTTACAAAAACGAATGGGCGTTAGGTTTGGTTATTGTAACATATTTGAAGATAATATGAAGAGTATTGGAGTGGGTGCTAATTGTGGGATGTTTGTGGGTGAGCAAAAGTTGACATTTGTTGGAATGAATGTTGGCAAAGAGTTGGAGAACTTGTCAAGTGTCAGGGAAATTGAAGATGTGAAGGATTATGTGGTGGCAATGAAGGATTTGTATAAGAATGATGGATTGTTGATTCAGGATTTGAGTTGTGTGTATATGCATGATTCGTTTGCTGGTTGTTATGTGAATGAGAAGGAAAATTATTCTTTCCAATTATGGAAATGTAAATATACAGAAATGAAAGAAACTGGAGAGAAAATTCCAAGTTTTATGGTCAATAACATTGTATCTAATTGCAATGATGATAATCATGAAGGAGCTAGACCATTAGATCCTTCCCAATATTCGAAATTTATTTCAGATGTCAACCATGCTATATTTTCCAAACTAGGAAATGACAAGGTAGCAAATGTAATCTATGTAACGTTGAATGACTATCAATTCAACAAGTTTATAGTTGATTCATATGGAAACTCTAATCTAAGTTTCGCAAAATTGTACTATGTATTTCAAGATTTGAAAATTCTTGATCCAAAACAAGTTAAAAAGAGTCCACTTATGAAAATGGCTCAAAATCCAAAAGGAAATTATCCTAAACTGCTATTTACTGATGTTAGAGACTTGACTGGTAAGCCAATGGTTTGGTCAGAATCGATCAATAAGGAACTAATTAGTTTCGGTCAACCAAGCTTAGCAGCCAAACCTTCATTCGGTGGATTTGCAAGTAAACTGTAAAATAAACAACTCCAAGTTCTAACTCAGCCCAACTCCATTTATTTAGATAGGAATTGAAGGTAGAAACCCAGTATTGATGAAGAATAGTGTAAATTTCGAATAGTTATTGGTCAATGGGATGGACAGCTCACAGACCACGGACATTTAGTGAATCAAACGAAAATAATGAAAAGTATTAATTGATTCTCCATTAGCACACTTGATCCTCACAAAATTAAAATTTCACCCGTTCCTTAATTTGTGCGCAACAATTTTCACTTGTGATTACAAAAATCCGCGTGTGCACTAACAGACGACGCACATTTTACAAAAACCTTTTAAAGGAAGAAAAGTTTCAAAAACACAAAATCAAAAAAAAAATAGAAGAATGTCTTCAACATTAAACAGAGGAAAGAGAACTGTAATTGTAACTGGAGCTAATTGTGGATTAGGTTTCGAATGTGCTAAACAATTATTTGCAGATGAGAAATTGGAATGGCATGTTGTGTTGGCTTGTAGAGATGAAAGTAGAGGAAAGGAAGCTTTGGAAACTATTTTGAATGGATCAGTTTCGGATAGGATTAGTTTGATTCTTTTGGATTTATCTGATTTGGAATCTGTTCGAAAGTTTGTGAAGGAATTCGAAAGTGCCAAACTCCCACCATTGAAGGCATTAGTAGCAAATGCAGGAATTGTTGCCCCTCCAAAGTTGACTTTAACCAAACAAGGATATGAAATCACAGTTGGTGTTAATCATATAGGTCATTTCTTGCTCACTAACTTGTTGCTTCCATTATTCGAAAGAGATCAAAAGGAAATTAATTCAATTGCTGTTGTTAGTAGTGAAGTTCATGGTAAGTAATTCTATTAGAATTTTCATTGAAGTTTAATTTAACTTTATTCGAAACTTTTTATTCGAAACAGATCCAAAATTGAAAATTCCAATGCCAAAAGCAAAATATGATTCCATTGAGAAACTCATTTCACCACCATACGAAACTCCAGAAGAAATTGGAAGTAGATATCCAACTTCCAAACTCTTGAATATTCTTTTCACTTATGAATTATGGAAAAGATTACAAAATTCAAGTGAATTCAAGAATCAATTCCGTGTAACTTGTTTCAATCCTGGATTTATTCCAGAAACAAGGTAAGTATCGAATAGTTTCAGATAAATATTCAACTATTTCCATAATTAGTTTGACAAGAAATATTGATCCTGAAAGAAAAAAGGGAATGATTGAACATGCAAAGGATTTGAGAAAAGAATTATCTGTTTCTGGTGGCGATTTAGCAAAATTGGTGAATCCAAACGAAACTGGAATAATCTCTGGATCTTATTATGATGGAAAGGAAAAGAAAAATTCCTCTGACGAATCCTACGAAGTGGAAAAACAAGTTGAATTGTGGGAATCTAGTAAGAACCTCATCAAGAATAGTTTTATAAAAGATCAATTTAGTCGTTTTTTAAATAATACTTTTTTTTTTATGATTTTTTATGGATTAGCAGGTGTTCTTATAGTAAAATGGATCAATCACTCCTGCAATTTCCAAGTAATGATACTATTGAGAACAAACCAATAAGTAGATAGACAGGGAAAAAATATTGTCTCACATTTTCAAACTTAAAATCAACAAATATTTAATTACTTGGATTTAGTCTTTCTGTAATGTTTGAAAACAAGAGGACTTTCGGTTTGTTTGTACTTTTCCAATTCTTTGAGTGCAACCTTTTCCTCAGTGGTCAGACTGTTAATGTAGCTCACTTTCAATTTGTTAAATGTGTCTTCAATTCTTTTCTCGGCTGTAATATAATTTTCCTTCCTAAATAAGTATTCCTCACGCTCGACAATATTCTTCTTGAAATCCTCTCCTTCTCTCTCCATTTTCTTCCTCAACTTGTTAACAGCCTTCTTTGATCTTTTATCCAAATATTTATCTAAGAATTCCTGATCTTGCTTTTCTTCCAAAGCTTGCTTTAATTGTTCCAATTCGTTATCTACATTTTCCTTCAATTGTCTCTTTAAATGTAAGTTGTGTGTCATGATTGGTTCCTTCTGTCTAATACTATCTGTCACAACGTGATGATACATATTGCCCAAATCATCATCCACAGCTTTTCTGTGATGATGTGGTGCCAAACCTTTTGATGACTTTTTCTTTGACATGCATTGATCAACTCCCTGAGCAACAATCTCTTCAATTCTCTCAAACGATTGCATTGTATTTTTCATAGAGTTTCTATACGAATTTTGCTCCTTCTTTCTATTCACCTTCTTTTTATCATCAAATGATTGCAAATTAAAGGCCGATGATGAATTTTCTGATGAAAAATTGAACGGATCTTGGCGATGACTTGTTTTACAACTATCAACTTTGGTATCTGTTTTGATATATGATCGGGTCATGATGAAAATAATATTGTACAAGATGTGTGGATGATTTTTTTGTTGATTAAAAGAAAAAATAATTTCAATTTCAACTTGCAAGTTCATACTGGCGTTAATTTTAGAATTGAATCCTTTACTTTATTCAATATTCTCATCAAAAATAATTCAATATTTAATATTAATATTTTCTAAATATTTATATCGGAATCACCATGATGATGATTTACTGATCCGTAAAGATAAATCCATTTTATTTAATGTTTCGATAATACGGGAGCGATTAGATTGTGATAGTTTTTGGGCGGGTCAATTTTCCAACGCGCAACAGCAGAAAGATCATTCTCGAGCCTTAATTTCATCCACACCACCACAACGAAAAAAAGCCTTTAAGCAGCTCTCTCTTGTTCCCGTTTTCTTTTTACTTTGATTTTGTTGGCGCGGAAGGATTGGATAGAAATTTGAATTGTGCCTTAATACTCGAGTTTAATTTGAAAACAGTGCAGCAAAGAATAAGCACACTATCGTTATTGTAATATTTTGGCTTTTGATGATGCTCGAAGAACAGAATAATAATATTCATCAACAAGATGATGCTGCGGTTGCGGAATTGAAAAAACAAAGACAATCATATGTTAGTTATATGATTGTTGTTGCCTTAGTGATTGCTATTGCCACTGTTGGTGTTGTTTCTTATTCATTCATTCCATCATTACTTTCATCAAAATATATTGGGAAGGAGAGCAATATTCCTCCTGCACAAGATGTTGAGGAATTTCTCAAGCTCAAGATGAAAAAGTATCCAAATGGACCAACTATCAAATTTAAATCCTTCATGAACGAAGAGAATACCATCAGTCAAAATGAAATGTCTTTTGGATATTCATTGACGAGTGAAAATAATCTTGCTTTGAGCAGAGCCAAATTGTTGGCATTGACCAATGCTGTAAAACGTCAATTACCAACAGGAGAGGAAATTATTGAGGAACCAAAACGTCAATTCATTGTCAAATTGAAGAGCAAGAGTATTTCCAAGGTTTCAATCATGAACATGTTGGAAACAAGTTTAGAAAAGAATGAAGAACCTGCCTTCACCAAGGACGCTGTCAAATTTAACAATATTTTGGCACCAGGAGTTGTCTCTATTGTTGCCAAGGCCAGTGACCTCTTGGAACATATTGGACAAGATAATTCCATTGAATGGATTGGAGAATATGAAAATAGATTCAAGTCAACACTTAACTTTAAAAAGATTCAACAAAAGGCTTCAGAAATGAAGAGAAATCCTCCAAAAGTTGATAATGCTAGAAGAAATGTTTTCAATGCAACCCAAAAACTTAGTTCAAAATCTACACCTTTTGGTTTGGATCCAAATATGGTGGAGGTGATCATTTCCCTCGTTCCATCTCTTGAAGCAATCAGAGCAGGTACTGAAATGGAGGAAGCTGAAAACTTTGCCAATCAATTCAACAAGATTCTTGCTGAAAGTTATGTCTCTGGTATTCAATACAAACCAATGAAAGTCCTCGATCAAACCAAGTGTGGATTGAGCTTCTCTCCTCTCATTGCCTCTCGTGTTGGTGATTTGTTGATGGAAAATCAAAATGTTCACTTTATCGAAAGAAAGCTCTTCCTCACTCTTCAAAACAGATATGCTCAAAAGTTGATGCAAAACATTGACCCATCAGCTACCTCTCCAGATTCACCAATGTATGCTTTAGGTATTACTGGTACCAATCAAGTTGTTGCTATTGCTGATACTGGCCTCGATTTTGATAACTGTTTCTTCTCTGATAGTTCAAGACCAATGACATTTGATACTATGAACAGTCTCAGAAGAAAGGTTGTCTATTACAAGACAACTTATGCTGATAATTATGATGGAGTTGATGGCCATGGTACCCACGTTTGTGGTAGTGTTGCTGGTTCCATCGAAAATGCTGATCTTAATACTGGCTTGAACCAATATCATGGTGTTGCTCCTGGAGCCAAGATATTCTTTACTGATTTGGAAAAGACATCACAACCAGGATCCCTCATGATTCCTGATCCAATCTCTAACTTATTCTCTGTTCCATACAGTATGGGGGCTAGAATTTTCTCGAACAGTTTTGGGTGTGGCCCAGAATCATTGGTTGATTGTGCTTACAATTGCCAATCTTGTAAATTGAGAGTTTCAATTCAAGGATACGACGAAGGACAAGTTGTCACTAATGAAGATTGTAAGCTCATTTTTGGTGTTCCAACATGCTGCGAAGCTTGTAATGTTTACAATACTCAATGTCAAGATACTGACACATTCTTATGGAATAATAAGGAAGCCATCATCTTGTTCTCTCAAGGTAACTCTGGAGCAATCTCTGAATTTGGTAATACAGGTTACCCAGCTGTCTCTAAGAACACATTGACTGTTGGTGCTCATCAAACTTCAAATGCTGGTTATGTTGATGGTGTCAATTACGACGATTTCTTACACAAGATGCAACAAGCTGGTTTGCCTTGGACATCAACTGCAGAATGCTGTGCCTACAGTGGATACAACAAAGATGAAGTGCGTGCATACTGTTGCCCATCAGCTATTAAAACTGGTTATTCAAGTCAACCAAACAATTATAATGAAAACAATTTAGCCAGTTTCTCTAGTAGAGGACCAGCCATGGGAGGAAGAATCAAGCCTGATGTTGTCGGTGTTGGTCAAACAGTTATTTCTACGCACTCTGATGGTACAACAACATCAAAGAATTGTGGAACTCAATCACCTCAACTCAATAATAATGCTGCTCTTTATTTACTTAGTGGTACTTCAATGGCAACACCAATCACAGGTCAGTATTTGTTTTAACATTAATTACTAATTATTTATATTGTTTTTTATTTATTTCTTTACATTATTTATATTATTTATATTATATTGTTATTAATTTATTTATTTCTTAATCACAACAGCTGGTGCAGTGGCTCTTGTTCGTCAATTCTTCCAAAAGACCTTGTCCATTAGTAATCCAAGTGGTACTCTTTTGAAGGCTGCTATCATTAATTCTGCTTCACCACTTACTGGAACTGTTGCTTATTCCAATGACGAAACTTCAAGATTCAATATCAAACAAAAATATGGATCTCCAAACTTTTATGACGGTTTTGGTAAGGTTCAATTAGGTGGCCTCTTAAATGACAAGTATAACAATCCAGTCACTTTGGTTTTCGCTGACAATACATTCACATCCCAAGCTCAAACTGCTAGACTCTGTTTGAGATTAAAGAAGACTGTTACTGCCAAATCCGTTTTCAGAACCACAGTCACTTGGTACGATTATCCAGGAAGTACATCTGTTCAAGGTGGTCTTGTTCATGACTTGGATATTTATGCCAATACTTATGTTCAAAGTCTCTCAACAGGAGCCACATCAGGATTGTCAATTTTTATTGCTAATGGAAAGACAGATTTCGGTGACTCTGAAAACAATGTTGAAAAGCTTGAAATTGATCCAATCACAAACCCATCCAATGCTGACTCTTCATTAATGCTCTCTATCCAAATCATGAATTTTGGAATCATGTCAGGACAAAGTCAATCATTCTCATTCATTTCCTCTATTGCAAATGGTTTCTGGGAGCAATTATCTCCTTCAGCATGTATCTTTAAGACTTCTTACGATACAACTGCTAGTGTTCAATCAACTGTGAATGTTCCTCGATCTGTTAATGTTTCTGATGTTTTGCCACCAAGCAATATTCAAATCACTCGTGTCACACCAGATACCATCCAATTGCATTGGGAAAAGCCAAACCAAATGGATTACGATTTCCATGTAATGTACGATTCAACTGTTCTCAACACTAAGGACACTACAATTTCAATTACAGGTTTGAAGGCTGGTGTTTCTTACAATTTGCACATTTTCTCTTCCATTGAAAATGTTCTCTCAACAAAGGTTTCCATGACTGTGAGTACATTGTCTCCTCGTATTGTTACTGCCACCTCTGGACAATCAATAACTTTGAGATCATCAATGGTATTCAACTTTGAAGTTCCACAAGGAGGTAAAATGATTGTGGATATGCCAGATACTTTCAAGCTTGAAGAAACTATTGCAAGAGGTCTTGTCGATCCAAACTTTAACATTCTCGATTTGGGCACTGGAGATTACCTTCAATTTTCCACAATGGAAAAGAATACCACAGATGGTATTATCCAAGTTACCTTTGCTCAAACAGTTCCTGTCACTGAGTGCGTTTTCACTATTAAGGCAACCACCACAGCAATCAGAGATTTGGACAACTTTGCAAATGTTAAGACATTTGGTGTCGATGGTTCACAAATTGAATTGAACACTCTCCCTCTTCCAAAATTGATCAATCCAGAAAATCCCAATCCTAACAATGATTCCTTCACTCCAATGCCAGTCAACCCAAGACCAATCATTCCAAGCTTTTCGTACGTCACCAACAATACTGAAGAGGCTCTTCGTGGACTCTCCATTTCTACAGGTGTTTTGGCAGGTGCTACAGCTCTTGCATTGGTTGGTGTCCTTGTCATTGGTATTATTCTTGTTTGGTTCGTTTGTAAGAATAAGAGAAAACCAACCCAACAAACTGCAACTCCAAGTTCAATGGTTGTCGAAGAAGACTCTTCTGTATATTATAGAAAGGACCAAAGATTGGAATAATTTTATTAATTCACAATGAGATTATCTCACAATAAATACTTTTGGTTCCATGTCAGTCGTAACATTCAATGTTTACTTTCTCTCAGTTGAACTTCCTCCTGATCCTGTGAGAGATTCATAGGCACTGTCAACAGTTTCCTTGACAGTGTTGAAAGCTGAAATACCCATGTTCTTTGCTGATTCAGACCATGTTTGAGCCTTAACATCTTCCTTTGGTCTGACCATGGCATCGGCTACCTTTTCTCCAGTATTTTCCTTTTGATCAGAGTAGGTGAGTGATTCAGAGATGGCATCTTTTCTTGTTTTGAGTTGATCCTTTGTTTCGTCGTAGCCCTTTTGGAAAGTGTTTCTGTTATCCATTTTGTTATTGTTTTGTTTGTTTGTTTTTTTCTTATTTGGTTGGATTTTAATATTGATGAAAGTTGCAGCTTTTTATAACCTTCATAATAGTAATTTATTCATTTGGTAATATAATTAAAATGAAAAAAGTCTATAATTGTTTTGGTGATGTTGACCAAAGTAAGGCAGCCATCTCTAAATGTACATGTCCAAATTTGAAGTATTTACAAAATTTAATAGCGAGCAGTCACTCTATTTATTATTTGGCCAATAATTATTATTGTTATAATTGAGATAGCCAGCTCCAGTTGAATTACTAATTGCCCTCGAAGTAATATGACTATTCGATTGTTGAGGATGAGAAGCTTTGAAAGGAATGTACGTTCCATTCGAAATTACGTCGTTTGGATTATTAACGATTGGATACGAATTGGTACTTGCACCCATTTGTTGATTCGATGGCACATTATACATGGTATTTTCACGCATCACCAAGGCATTATAATCCATACATGGTTGTTGCATTTCCTGAGCAAAGTGTGCCTTATTTCTCTCCTTCATTTGTTTAATTCTCATTTCTTCCAGTTTCTGTTCTTCGTATTTCTTTCTGACATCTCTCAATCCATCTCTCCTCTTTTCAGAATTGCTTCCTGAACTGTTGGTACTGCTGGTACTACTTGTCGTGCTGACAGTTGGAGAATTTGGATTTACAATTGTAGGTTTTGCCTTTGTAGCATTACCAGATGATGGAACCCGACTCTTATTTACAAGTACAACAGTAGGTGATTGTTGTTTGCTATTTTTCACATTATTCACATTTGCTTGTTGTTGATACCTTTCCCTGAATGAAATGTACAAACTGTACAATTTTTCCTCATTCATTACTGGACCACGTTGAGAATTAATAAACTCTTTAAATTGAGAAAACATTCTATAATCCTCCTCTTCTGAAACTTCCGAAAGAGAATCTATAATTGGTTTGAAAATGTTGCTCGTCATGGTTTGCATTTGCACATTATTTACAATTTGATATTCTGGAAAATCAATTTCATCAAATGAAGGAGCTGATGGATACTGCACTTCATCAGATTTTCCATTATTATTATTAGTTTGTACTTTAATTGGATAATGATATATTTGATTACTAGGAGATGTTTGCAAATTTCCAGCATTATTACTAATACTTGTTAAAGGTGTCATTGAGGAAGGAGGTGATACATTCCTTTCCTTCATCATCATCATATGATTATTACTAATTACCATATTATTATTATTATAAGTTGATTATTAATTTGATTATTTCGATTCGTGATGGTCGGAGGAAGACCCTTTTCCTTTCCAATAGCAGAACAAGATGAATTATTAATTACACAACACCACCACTCTCAGCACTCTTAGCACTTATTGGAGGATGAGAAGAAGAAGCACCAACGTTGATCAAAGTCTTCCTATTTTTTCCATCTAATTGGAAACTTGTTGGAGGAGGGATTTGTTCATGTTCTTCTTCATCTCCTTGTTGTGCATATTGTTGAATATTTGGATTAGAAGCTTCTAATTCCAATTCTGTTTGTTTTAATTGATATTCAAATTCTTCATATTCATCACGATGCAATTCCTTGATTTTATCAAAGGAAAAGAGAGAGGAAGGAGGTGGAGGAATGAAAGGTTGTTGATTAATAATTGAAGCACCAACAGCACCAGTAGTATTGGTTGTTTTAATTGTATTTAAATTATTATTTGTAGTATTAGTATTATTATTGGTGGAAGGAAGAGAAGGAGGAGGTTGAGGAATTACAAATGATGATGCTGATGAAGGAGTTGGAATAAACGTTTGTTGTATTGGTGGTGGATTTGTAGTTGTTGCTTGTTCGGTTGGAATGGAAGAAGGCTTCTTATCTAATAGTTTAATTCTGTCCTTTATACTTGAAAAACTTTCATTATTATTAGAAGTATTATTAGCAGTATTAGAGGTTATTAAATCATTGTTATTATTGGATGATGATGATGAAGGTGTTAGAACAGGAGCATTGACTTTATGAATTGATGAAGAACGTCCAAGAGTTTTTGTTGTAGAAGAAGAGGAAGGCTTTGATTGTTCTTGTTGTGGTTGCTCTTGTGCAATAGCAAGTCCCTTCTGTAAAAGTAATTGTCTTCTCTCCTTGATACTCATCGAGCCCTCGAGTTCGGGTAGAACACTTGTCATGATGATGATGATGTTGTTGTTTCTTGTTTCTTGTTCCTTTGATTGTAAAGTTACACGGAAAAACCTTTACTAATGCTATTAGTATGAACAATTAAGAAGGCAAGATTATTTGGATTTATATATGATGAATGGATAGTAATATATTTTGTTCCTTTTTTTCGTTAGAATTGATTTCATTGCCAGCATGACGAGATTGAATCAACTATCAAGCTAAGAAACAATAATTCCTTTTGCATCAGCATTTCCTTTCGTTCATTCTTGGATTGAGGAGATGAAGGAATTTAGAAGGAAGAGTTTCAATTTTGGGTTCATCATGGATGAATAGTTTCATCTGTAAAGAAAATTGGCGCGATTATTATATCAAATATAATATATTCAAAAGGTACTAACCTGGTTATCACAATCTAATGATAGTATTCAAATTATGAAAACTCTAATATCAAACATGACAATCGGGCTTCTATCATCATAAAATATTAAAAATATAAATAATAAAAAATGTCTGATGATAGAGAGTTGCAGGATGTTGTACAACAACAAGACACCACTGATGGTGGTGATCGTCTTGAAAAATTACGTTCTCGCATGAGTTATAAATTACATCCAACCTACATGGTGATCAGAACACATACAATTAATCAATCCGATGATCCGACACAACCTTTAATTCCTCAGTGGAGTGTTCCTTTTGAATATCGTACACCAGATATGAAAACAACACACTTGGGAAGTAGAAATTGTTTCTTTGATAGAAAACACATGTTAGATTCTCAAGAAGGACAATCAGCATTGGAAAGACACATTCAAGTTGAAGAAGAACGAAATCAAAGTCTCTTCCAAAATCCCTATTTATTGTATAGAGTTACGGGACAGAATAAGATTTCTGTATGGTCCTGTATTGCTCTTTTAATTTTACATTTAATATTATCAGGATTAATATTATTATTTGATTTTTTGGAAATTATCTTTCCGAATGGATATGATTTTAGAATGTTCGGAATTTCGAGTAGAAAATTTAATAGTTTGGGATCTGGTGCTGCTTCTTCATCATCATCAATAGATTCTCCTCTTCATGCATCAGCTGGCACACGAGTTGGATACTTTTTTGCTATCCTTGCAGTAACCGTGTTGGGAATTTTCTGTTTTATTACAACCATGTACAGTGCACCAGATCAATCCACAACAGCAGCAGCAACAAGTGCAGATAACAATAGTAGCAGAAGTGGAAGAATGAAGAGCTTTTTCACCAAGCACAGAGATTGGATTCTCCGATTATTCACTTGTTATCTCATTTGCATTACATTGTGTATTCTAGTAACTGCACTCTTCTTCCTCAATATTGGTCTACTTTCATTTGTATTATTGGCAGTACAATATGTTTTATGGAGTGCTAGTCACAAGACAAGGGAACGATGCATGATCACTTATTATACAACCACTTCATTCTAGTTACTGATTAACACTAAATATAACATTTATGGTTTCCACTTCTAGACATTGTCACCTTTATATTGTAAGATAGATGAAGACTAACTAAACTTGGATTTTAATTGTCTACAATTGTATGATATTCTAAACAAGTATTTTTTGATTTCAACCCGCCAATTTCATTACAACTTTTCATTTTGCCATGGACTTATATTTTTGGAGATCGAATATACAAAAATCCATTTTAGAAAGTACTGGTCTAACCATGAAGGAATGGGAAGATCTGAGGTCCACCAATTTTTGATTTATAGACCCTATTCATTTCAGCTCCATACAACTACAATTATTAAGAAAAAACAACACAACAACAACAGTATGAACAATAACAACTTGTTTTTGGCAATTATTTGGGTAATGTGCCTCTTGATATCTCACCAACAAACAAGAGCTCAACAATTTCCACCCAATAGATGGCTCAGAACAAGTAATTATTTAGTAGAGACTTTGGCAGGTGACTCATCTCAATGTGCCAACTATTTAGCTCAATGGAGAACAAGAGTTGGTAAACCTGTGGGTCTCTTCTGGGTTCCTTCTACCCAGGAGGTTTTCTTTACCGATTTGGAGAGAAATGCCGTTAGCAAAATAACAGCTTCTGGTCAACTCGTAGATTTGATTGGTGGATCAGAATTGAGAAGAGGTTATTCAGGAGATGGGTCTTTAGCAGTCAATGCCAAGATCAATGGACCAACTAGTGTCATTGTCGACTCATCAAATGGTGATGTTTTCTTTACTGACGATTGGAACCATTGTATTAGAAAGATTTCGGCCAGTTCAGGAATTGTTTCAACCGTGGCGGGAACTGGAGTTCAAGGTTTCGATGGAAACACAGGAAATGCTCTATCCATGAGATTGAGCATTCCAAGAAGTATCAGATTCACTTCTGCCACAACTATGACCTTTCTCGATTATGGAAATTGTATCATTAGAGAATTGAACATTTCCTCAAGTCAAATTACCAAAACATTTACAGTTCCATACAGTTGCACAGGTACTGGAACAGATCCTGTTGGTTATAGCTCGAGAGTATTCCCTTCCTCGACCGGTGATGTTTACTTGTCAGATGACATGAAGAATATGGTTTCCTTGATGCAAATTAAAGACGGAAAACCAAAGAATTTTGCTGGTAGTAAGGGAGATGGTTACACAGCAGATGGTCTCAAGATTTCAGATCAGAAAATGAGCGTTCCAACTGGAATTTTCTTAAATGCTGCCGAAACTACTTTATACATTGTCGAATCAGGAAATCACTTATTGAGATATGCAACTGGTGATAAGATTTACACAATTGCAGGAACAGCAATGACTAAGGGATTTTCTGGAGATGGAGGAAGTGCCACATCAGCTCTTTTGAATAATCCAAGTGATTTGTTTCATGATGAAGCAAATAACATGTTTCTAATTTCAGATACTGATAATGGAAGAATTAGAAATGTGAGTGGTGGAATAATCAACTCGAAAACCTTGTATTCTAATGCTGTTCCATCTTCATTGGTGAGATTTAGCTCCTCCCTCAACAGTTTCACATTTGGAATGGATGGAAGCTTGTACATTTCCGATTACTCCACAATTAGATCTGGTAATTCAAATTTTGACATTTATGCTGGTACTGGTTTGGTTGGTTATAGTGGAAATTACACTTTGAGAAATTCAACTCTTTTCAATTCACCAAACAAGTTGGCTTTCAACTCTAGAAATGAATTATTTATTGCGGATTCGAATAACCATCGTATTAGAAAGGTAGTTGGTGGAATGACTTTTGATTATGCTGGTAATGGTAATCCAACAGGTTCTGACAATGATGGAGGATCTGCCTTGAATGCAGTTCTTGCCAATCCAACATCTCTCTTTGTTTTACCTAACGACGATTTGCTAATTGCCAGCACTGGAAAGATTAGTAAGGTATTTGCAAATAATGGAACCATTGTAACCTTGTATCGATCTATGGGTGTAATAATTTCGGATCTGACCGTCAACCTCAATAACTTGGATATTTATTTTAGTGAAAAATCGACTCATACTGTCAAAAAGTTAGATTCGAATGGAGTTTTGACAATTATTGCTGGAACTGGATCGAATTTAGGATCAGTTTCTGATGGAGGTCTTGCAATCAATGCAACCATTGATTCTCCAAACAGTATTTTATTAACTCAAAATGGAGAGCTCATTATTTCTGAACAATCAAGAATTAGACGTGTAACTTTGAATGACAATTTAATTTCTACAATTACCTTATATGATAACTCCACACAAACCAACACTTCATTCATCAATCAAGCCAAGTCTTTGTATTTGAATGCAAATGGTGATATTCTCTATGCAGAGGGTTGCACCATCAAGAGAATCAAACAAATTTTACAACCTGAATATCCAATCTCATGTTTTGGATATCTTGCCAATAACTCACTGGTGTGTTCTGGAAATGGACAATGTAATGTCACTGATCAATGCTCTTGTAATGAGGGATTCATTGGCTCCATGTGTGAAACACGAAACCATTCCTGTTTTGGTATTCATTTCAACTCTTCTTTGGTTTGTTCTTCTCATGGTGATTGCATTTCCAAGAATAATTGTTCATGTTACAATGGGTTTTATGGAGATAATTGTGAGTCCACTATTGTCATTCCATTGAATTATACTTGTTTTGGTGTGAATTTTAATGATTCCAGTGTTTGCTCTGGATTTGGAAACTGTATTGCGACTGATAATTGTACGTGTAGTGTTGGTTACTCTGGAAGTAATTGTCAGAATGCTCCAATTCCTCCACTGACTTGTTTTGGAGTTTTGGCCAACGAATCGACAAGTGTATGTTCTGGACATGGCCAATGCGTGTCCAAGGATAATTGTACTTGTGCCACTGGATATTATGGATCTTCATGTGAATTTATTGTGCAACCTCCACCAATTACTTGTTTTGGAATTTTATTTAATGATTCCACAGTTTGTTCTGGACATGGATCATGCAACTCCTCAAACCAATGCTTATGCAGCGAAGGATACACTGGCTCTTCATGTCAAAATCCACCTCCACAACCTACACCTCCAATTACTTGTTACGGATTATTATTCAATGATTCCGTAGTTTGTTCTGGACATGGTAATTGTCTCTCATCAAATAATTGCTCATGTGAAACTGGATACAGTGGAAGTGATTGCAGTTCATTCAAATGCTTTGATATTGTTCCAAGTAATTCTGCAGTTTGTTCTGGACATGGCAGTTGCAGTGCTCCAAATACTTGTTCCTGCTCCAATGGATACTCTGGAAACGATTGTAGTCAATTCGAATGTTTTGGAACTTTATTTACTAGTTCATTAGTTTGTTCTGGACACGGAGTGTGTAATTCCACAAATCAATGTTTATGTAGTGAAGGATTTATTGGAAACGAATGTCAAACCAAGAATCATACTTGCTATGGAATGTTATTCAACGATTCAAATGTTTGTAGCCAACATGGTGAATGCATGTCAAAAGATAATTGTCAATGTCAAGATGGATACGTTGGAGCAAATTGTGAAATTCCAGTTTGTTATTCATTGTTATCATCTGATTTGAATGTATGTTCTGGAAATGGAAAATGTCCAGCTCCAGATTCATGCCTTTGTAATGAAGGATGGTTTGGAAAGAATTGTTCGAATAGAGTTTGTGTTTCTGTGGTTGACGTTATAAATGGAAATGTGACATGTAGCACAACTACTCAATCAGATGATGTGGAATTAATTAAGAGAGCAGTGACTGATCTTACTGAACTAGATGCAGAAGAATTGCATTTCCACAAGTATAGTTCAGTTTCTGTCAAATTTCCATCAGACATTAGTTCACTTTCCACTTCTCAAGATTTAACAATCATTGCAACAGTCCAAAACAAGACGAGTGCCAAGCAAAAAATTGGAGCCATCAACAGTGATGTAGTTTCTGTCTCATTCCTCAAAGATGACGGTTCTAAATTCCAAGTTTCGAATTTGGCAAATCCAATTATCATTAATTTTGCCAATATTTCAATTGAAGCAGATTCGAACGAAAGCATTAGAAACTTTACTTGCATGTTCTTTGATGCAAACATCAATTCATGGAGTGATACTGGTGTTTCTACTCTCTTTTCTTTCATTCAACGAGTTTCGAATAATCAATTCCAAGTTTCCATTCAATGTCTCACCACTCACTTGACCACCTTCTCAGTCATTGACATTAACATTAAGAAACAAAATTCACCAAGCACCACCATCCAACCCAAACAAGATCAAACCTCAAACGATTCCACTGTTATTATTGCAGTTCTAGTTTCAGTCATTGCTTCTTCATTAATTTTCTTCGTTGTTGGAATTGTCATTGGTGTGAGTGTTGCATTACTGTATAAAAAGAGGAAGAAGGAAAAGGATTATTCAGCTTCTTCCTCGACTGGAGTGTAATATATTGATAAGATTACACAATAAACGAAACGTGATCCTTTTTTGAAACGTGATTTTCAGTGAAATGTCAATAAAGCCCAAATGAGTTTTTTGAAAAACAATTAAAGTTTGAAAGTTTGTTTGCAAGTCCAAGAAACAATTAAAAAAAATGTTACCACAAGAGTTTTGTAAAATTCCAATCCATGGTGAGAATTCCCATATGGTTCTTTCATTGATCATTGTTTCAGATACGGAGGCAAAACTTGCTCTCAGCGCTCAAGATTCGCCTGCTTTCTTCCACTCTGCAAGTATTACAGGGTCAATTTTCAAGAATTCTTTGGAAGAGGCGAGAGAAATTATTTCGGTTGGAAGTGCTGGAAAGTTGGTTGTTATGAGACAGAATCATGAGATGGTTAATTTGTGTAAGAAGGAAGATCAGGAATGTAAAATTACATTTTTCAAGCAAAACGAATCGATTCAGAATGCAATGGAATATGTTGTTAGAAACTTGACGAAACCGTATTTGAACTCTGATTGGATTTTGATTATGAAGTGTGCAGGTACTGATATGGGGTATGATAGTATTCATTGGACAACTGGATCAACTTTGAACAGTGATAAAAGAAATGATCTGTTCGAAGGACTTTCGGCTAAATATCCAGAATTCAATTTGATGCAAGTCAATGAATTACTATTGGTAACTCCAAATGGACAAGCTCATCTAGTTCTCAAAGAAGCAAAAACCATGCTAGAACGTTTCCAATCCAACAAGACAGAAATTGCCCATTTAAGGAAAGGTCAAGATCCTCTATCTTTGGCAAGTGGCTTTGAAATGGCCAATTTTATGGTTCCAAAGTCTCCTTATTGGAAAATCAATGCATATTCCAACAAATATCCCGAAACTTTCAAAGCAAGAATCGGAGGTTTCTTTTCCTATCAATGGAATAGCTCCGATTACGGAGTTGATACTCTAAACTTTCCAGGAAGTGCAGAAATCGCAGGAATTGGCATTACAGACAAAGTTTTTAACCCATTCTGTCCTGCCAGAAGCTTTGGAGTGAGACAAGCTCACGACAGTGACTCCTTGCCAAGTGGCGGACAAACCAGTGGAGAAGTTCACATTTATGCAAGATTGGTTAATCAATAATTTGCAAATTACCTGATTAGTAGAGAATACGTATCTTTCTTAAAAATATTAAATATTGAATCCCTTAATATTTTTATTGTAAAAATAAATTAAAATACGGGGATGCTTTTCATCATCATGATGATGATGTAAAAATGTATGATGAAAATATTGAAACGGTTTTATATAATGAAATGACGACAGTGAATTCGCAATTAATTTCCTTGGTAAATAAGGTGAAGTTAGCGGATAGTTGTTACTTTATGTATAACAATGGAATGATTGATGAATTTATTGGTAATATTCACGAATTTTTAAAACAATTGGATTTTAATCGGAAGAAGGCTTCTTCTGATCGATTGAATTCCGATGTTTTGTCTCATATTTATCAATTCTTGGATAATACTACACTCCAGGAGTGTTGTTGTTTGGTTTCAAAATTGTGGAGACAATCAGTGGATGGATTGCAAGTGGGAGTGAGAGGTGAAAACTTGGACAATTTTCTGAATGGTTCGTTAGTTAAGAATGTCGCCAAATTGACCTTGATTATTTCTGGTGATGCATTTAAATCACTTGCTAATTGTAGAAGTTTGGACAAGATGAAATCATTAGATTTACTTTCCTTATCTAATGTTGCTGTTGAGCATTTAACGAAATGTCATACACCAAATTTGACAGAATTGAATTTGGTGGATACGATAAGAATTTACTGAAAATACGATAGCAAAGGAATTATTCAACAGTCCTTTCATGGCAAGCATTAAGAAATTAGATTTAAGCCATTCTATAAGAGATTGTTCAAAGAGCTTTATTGAATCAATTTCACATTCTAAATATATGAAACAACTCACTCATTTGAAAATTAATAATTTTGGAAATGATGATGAGGAAAAAGATATTATTGGAATCGATTTATTTATTGAAGATAAGGTGAATTTGGAATATTTAGAAATGGAAGGATATCGATTCAAACAAACGAATTTTTTAACAAACGGAAACCTTAAGAATCTAACATTTCTGGATGTTAACAATTCTAGTATGAAAAATCAAGATTTTGCAAATTTGATTGTTTCTCCCAATTTACCAAAACTTACAACACTCAAAGCTAACAATTTATATCACGATGAAACTGTTGCTACATTTCCTCCAAATAGTCAAAGTTCGGTAACTTATTTGGATATCAGATATTGTGAACTTGTGCTATTTCCATCACTCTTGGATCATTGTCCAAAGCTAAAGAAACTAAAAGTTCTTCCTGGTGGTGAGGATGAATACATTTCACTGAAAGAGCTTCTCAACATGATGAAGTCTCCTAGCTTATCAAATTTGGAATATTTGGATATTACCTGTTGTGGAGAAACAGTGGAGATTATCTTTACCAGTCCAATTTATTCCAATTTACAGGAATTACGTTTGGAACTACACGAGTCCTCTAACCAAACTTTAGATATTTCCCTCGTGTCGAAATGCACCACTCTAGTCAATTTAAAAACCCTGGACCTTTGGAGAACAGAGTATTTAGCTGAATTGGAAGAAGAAATCAAGAGAAATCCAACCTTTTCAAAGGTGAAGAATTTGAAAGTGCCCAAACCAAAGAACCTTAAAAAGTGTGGCAAAAGTTTTGGAAGATCTTATTAATTTTCTCCAATCAAAATATAGGAAATTTACAATGTTTTTACAAAATTTAGAAACTGAATAATTGGATTTTATGAGTTTACAAAATTGAAAACAAAACTAGCAAAGTAAGAGTCAAAATTTGGTATACGAAACTATTCGAAACTGACCAGGCACTCGATTCTCTAATATTATTAGTAATAAAAGGTCCAAATGCGAATGGATCTCCAAAAATCTTTGAAAAACATGATGGTCCACAAGCATCCTTATTCGATTTCAAGAAGGCAGCCAAATCAGTTGCATCTGCAACCACAATGTGAGCTTCTTTCTTTAAAATCTTTTCGAAAATCTCAGTATATCCAGATGCAATACTATTCAATGTAGCCTTCTTATACTTTGCCTTGACATAATTATCATACGAACTTCCCTTATATGTCAAAACTGTCACATTATAATTATCAATGTCAGATTCTGAATTAATAATGACAGTTCCATTATCCAATGCAGATCTCAAAAATCCAGGACTTGAAGTTCCATATGGACAATTGAAATGAACCAGTGGCAAACGAATAGAATCGAAATTAGTCGAAGCAATTGCAATATCACATGCTCCACTATCGACCTGAGCTTTCAATGCATTGAAATATCCTAAAGCTGTCGTATTCACAATTTGATAGGTATAGGCAATGTCTCTATTGTACTTGTTGTTCAAAATTCGAATTAGGATTTTTCCTGCCAATTCGTGGACTTTTGGCCAATTGAAAGTGGCGTCGTGTTCATAGCAGAGAATTAGTGGACTAGTTCTTGGTAAATTGAGAGTTGTGGGAGCAGATGGGATGGATAGTTTGGAATATGGAAGTGCTGAACAGGATGGGGTGGAGAAAATCATCCCTAAATCGTTCATACCTTGAAGAAATTCACTGTCAATAATCATTTGTGAAACAGCATAATCGACAGCATTAGCAAAATCTCTTGTGATGGTGTAGGATGGAGTGGTACTGTTAGTTGTTTGGGCTGTGGAGAAGGAGCAGCAGAACAGTAAAAGCACAACCAGAAGTAGTAGATGAAAGAATCTCATGATTTTTTTTTGATGTGTGTGAGATTTGAAACTGATGGCAGTTGACAGTTTTATTCAGTGTTGCTGTGGGCTCCCATTCGTGCCGTTATCTGGAACGCAGTGCTATCTTTGATGGAGGAGTTTACTGTCCAATTCAAAAACATGTGTTAACCAACTGCCATTCTTGTCAAGTGCCAAAAAATTACAACATCACGGCAGATTTCATTTTGCATATTTAGAAAGTGGTAGCCAAAGTTGTGTGACCAGCAGCCCTAAACTCTCTGATATTTTGATTACAACACAATTTACAATATTGACATCTCTGATATTTTGAACACTAAGGTTCCTTTTAAAACTGTACTTTCTTATTCAATCTCTTTACTGTTTTGATTTGACAACTCTAGTGATACTGTGCTATCTCTTTCAGCAGTAAACAGCTGATGAGAAGAAATCCAATTGTGTCCAGGATAAATTAATCCAAAGTAATAAATTCAAGATAAATTAATTGTTTCATTTGACTAAGAAATTGAGCTCCCTCATCTCCAATATTATTCCATGAAATATCAAGGTTTGTCAATTGTTTCATGCCACTAATATATTTAACTCCCTCAGCACTAATTTCATTATCACCAATATCCAACCTTGTTAATTGATTCATTTCACTAATGTGTTTCACTCCTTCATTTCCAATATCATTATTATAAATATTAAGAATGGTCAATTGATTCATTTCACTAATGTATTTGGAACCCTTAGCACCAATATCATTGGAACTGATGTCTAGATGTGTTAATTTTCGCAGTTGACTAATGTATTTGGCTCCTTCTGTTCCAATGTCATTGAAGGTAATTTTGAGATGAGTCAATTGCTTCATTTCACTGATTGACTTGGCTCCCTCCTCACAAATAGTATTATTAAAAATATCTAATCTTGTCAACTGTTTCATTCCACTAATATATTTAGCTCCGTTTTTGCCTATACTGTTTGAACCAATATCTAGACATTTCAATTGTTCCAGTTGACTAATATATTTTGCTCCTTCTTCATAAAGAACACTATTACAAATATCAAGATTTGTCAATTGCTCCATTTTGCTAATATGCATGGCTCCTTCCACTCCTATACTATTGTAATTAATTGTCAGAGTTGTTATTCCTTTCATCAAATTTAATAATTTATAATCAAATGCACCAATTTCTCTTTTAAAGAGAAGATTTGTTACATTTTGTAAAAATTGACCTTTCTTTTGCATCCTATTATTTTCGCATTTCAATGTAAGTTTGCACCGATTAACAATGACATTAAACCATTGTTTTGAAACTAATGCACAACTCATGACCATAAATTTAAAATCATCATGAAAAGAAAAAATTTCATAGAGAACATCATCGGAGAAGAGTAAATAATTTACTTCGGATATCTGTGGAAATGTTTTTCCCGTATTTTTGCAATGCTCCTTACAAAAAAGGAAATATTAAATTTAATACTTAGTGAAATAAAAATATTATTTATTATTCTTGTTCTAATTGATGTTTTCTACAAGATTCTGTTTTATTGAATATCAGTTATTTGTATTAACCAAGAAAACATGCTCGTCTTACTACCACATATGAAAATTTTGAAATCACTTTTCTCGATAAGTAAAGAGCCAAATCAGTAACAAACTTGATATTATGATTGTTAACATAATTAATAATGACCATACGGTATGTTTCTCTAACATCCAGTGTTGTTATTGAGATATGCTTTGTTGAAGTTGAGTGAATTTGCTTAAGTAATAAATCGGTGTTATTGGCGCATCCAATTACCCCTACAGGTAAATCAGCTTTGGGAGCATTCCATGTTTTTTGGGAGCATCACAAAAATGCGCCGAGAACCTGACCACAGATATTGTGGCTGTTTTTTTAAATTCTTCCATCATTGCTTTGTAATTGGTGGTTGAGCATTTCACGTATTTTTTTCAATAATTTTTAAAAATTAAAAATATGTTGGGAATAATTGGAATATTTAATAATAATTAGATTTTAAATAAAATTTTAAACTTTATCAAAATTCAGAATGCAAAATCATCAACGAAAAATTCCTATTCACCGCCAGATTTTCCTTAATTGTTCAAATTTCTAGAATTTCGCGCCTTAATATCAGAAAAAAAAAATGTTTGATCCAAGTTCGTCTTCCTCTTCATCATCAGCTGCTAACAGTCACCAACTTCCTCGATTTTTCAAGCCAATGCTACCGGCAGGAATTCAATCAAGATTAGTGGAGGGAGATTTGATTAAGGTGACTGTTTTGGGGGCCGAAGGTTTTTCCAGTAAGAAATCACTAAATCCCTATTGTTCCCTTCGATGTAATATGTTCCCTCGGAATACTTTAGTAAAGTATTGGAATGAAGATCGGATCTCTGTGAGTGTGCATACTAAGGTGATTAAGGAGAGTGTAACTGATCCGAAATGGAATGAAACGTTTGAATTTTTCATTGATGAGGAACAGGTGCTAACGGAAGTGAATTTGAATATAAAGATTGAAGTATTGAGTAAGAATACAGTTTTATTGGATGTGAGTTTTCTTTTTGAATTTTAATATTTAATTAATTAATTGTTTATTGGCAATTTAAGGACTCATTTGGGAATACAAGTATTGATATTGATCCTGAAAAGTATACAGTTGGTAAAGATCATAAAGTTCAGTTATATCTTTCCAAGGAGGGATCCATTAACTTGATGGTAAGAATTGATAGAAATCCTCATTATGCTCCAAAAGGAACTTGTTTCCATGTACCAACAGAAAATCAATTGTAAACACTATAGACCTGTACTATAAAAATTCTTGTAAACTTAGTTCGTTATCACAAGTATCATTGCAAATAGTCAATCTGTTACCTTTAATGTATCAGAAGCGAATATAATTATACAATCTTCTTATTCCACATATTTGGTACAAAGTAAGGAAGCAACAATAAGTGAAATGCTCACCCTTTCTAAAATCAATCAAATAGTACCATCAAATTGCCACTCTATCAAAATTAAGCGCATCGATGGAATAATAAAAAACCACACCAAAAAGTCCACAGCCTGCACGGCACATATTTTGTTATTTTTAAATAGCTCTGTTATCAAATGAAATTCTTGAAAAAAACAAGGATAACAAAATAACAACAATATAAACAAAATGAAGGGTCCAAGATTTTACTATGACTACAGCTACAGAATGAGACCAAGAATATTCCCAAAATTCTTCTTTGGTATGCTCGTGGGTGGTTTCGTTGGCTATGTTTGGGGAAGAAACAATAACTGCAATCAATCTCATCAGAATCATTATGGTCCATTCTGTGGTTCTCATGATAGACACAATTGTTGGGATAATAGAAACAGTTACAATCCAAACCACCAACAAGCTTTCAATAATCAAACTTATCCAACTCAATATACTCCTTATCCTCAAAATGGTCAACCTCAACATCCTCAAATATTACAACAACCTTCCCATCCAGTTGTTAATAATAATCCAGTAAATATGAATCATACTGAAGAAAACAAGCCAACCAATCAAAATTAAGCACAGCCACCAAAATAAATATATTCTTATTAAGAACTACTTTTTCTTAATGGATTTATGAGGTTTGTATCCATAGGCATTGAGTTTTTTCAAAATAGATTGTGCAATGCTGGTATTTGGAATGACACATCCACAAATCAATTCATTAAACACAAAATCATCTGAAACTCTGTAATTGGTATAACCCAACCAAGTATTTGGATCAATTTTGAATTTCTTACATAATTTGATCAAGTCCTCAATAGCAACAGAGCAATTTCCAATGATAATACCCCATGGAGTGATGCCTTTCTTTACCAATTCAACAAAGAGAGCAACGTCAGCATGTTCTCCTCTTCCATACATGGAAAACATTTTCATTTGATCGGCAGCTGTCAATTTCATGCATTTCAATAGCATTGGAGGTGGTTGATTGAGTGTTTTAGTGATCATTCTAATGAAACGAATTGAATTATTCCAAGCTCCAACAACTGCATTGTAACCAGTCGAGTCAACTGAGGAAGATCCAGATCTAGGAACTGACATTCCCTTTTCAATGCAATATTTAACTCCAATATCGTATTGTTTCTGTAAAAAGAATGCCATTGGAATTTGTAAATCTAGAAAATTGGACAAGAGTTTCAATTTACCTTCTCCTGATAAATTCGAAACAATGTCTTCCATTGGATAAACAGAGGCAATCAAATCCCATCTTGTCTTTTCATTTCTCAATCTGCAAATATCCAAAATATTAACCAGGAATGGATCGAGTTTACCTTGAATTTGACTGTTTAAGGTAAATTCCTTTCTCACACTGAAAAGACTTACTGCCATGGCCACGAAAACCACCGATGGAACGTCAATGTCATTCATGATGGATTCATAACTGGTCTCATCGAACATGTAATGTTCATCTTTGAAAATAAAAGTGGTCATTCCACTTTTATCAATTCGTGTGGCAACTCCTGTAATGTACGGATGACTGACATTACATAATCTTCCTCTAATTCTTCCACAAATGTCCAATAACTTGTTGTACTTTCTGAAATGCCATAAGGAGGAGTGTAAATTGGTCTTTCTGGTTTGATGATTCAATTGAGGAGAGTAGACTGCTGTTTTGGTTGGTTTTGAGTTTTTTCTATTTCTCAATCTGAATGAAATTGAACTTGCATTCACTCCAGCCAATTCTTCAAGAGTATCCAATAAAGAATTATATTCACTCAAATTACGTGGATAATTGACTGTTGGTAGCTCTGCATCTTTCAAAATCTTGTTAATCTTTTCAATATCAATCTTTGGAAGTGAAATTATTGGTTTAAACTTGTCATTCATGAAGGAAACCTTATTGGAAATGCTGGATGAGGAAAATTCTGTAATTTTCTGATCCTTCATATACTTTTGCAAATCTAGAGCGTGTTTATGTGAAACTCTCCATGAAAGTGCCTTTCTCACACGATTGACCAATTCAATTCTGCTCAATAAGAATTGATCTGTTTCAGTTGAGGCAAGTTTAAACTTTTCCAAAACACTAACCAAGTAATCACACCAAGCAAGTAATAGAAATGCAGCTTCAGGAGGTGAATATCTTCCATGAACTGTTAATTTCACATCCAATTAACATTTGATTTTCAACAATTAATCAAAGAATTTCAATTTTCCATATAAGGAATATTAAATTTCCAAATAAATCACATTTCATCCAATCAATAAAATTCAATATTACTTGCGTGTGAAAATCAAAACCTACCCACAACAAATGGAATTCTCTTAATTTGCTCACTGCTACCAGTATCCAAAATTGAAACATTCACTTGCTTGCTCTTTATCAAATTTTGCAACTGATCCAACGATTTCTTTTTAATCTTTCTCATCAAATCATCATTTTCCTTGCTTGGATTTTCAATTATTTCATAACGATCAAGAAAGGAATGACAATCCATGCATCCCAATCGATCAGAAACCAACATGAAGAATGTCTCTGCATGATAAATGGATGGGAATCCTCGGTAGGGAATTAACTTGGCATTGGAGTTATGAAAGGTGGCTCCTGATTTCTTCATGAGAATGTTTCTACAAAATTCTGACATTTGTTTAAAGGAAGGAGGTGGTAAATTTTCATAGTACTTTCTATCGACAATAACTTGTTCTTTTGACAAGGAATCTTCCTTTTCGTTTTGTTTATTCTTCGAAGGCGAAGATGCGGCAGCAGATGATGATGGTAACATTTTTTTTAAATTGTGTTGAAGAAAATCAATTTTCTAAATGCACATCTTCCAATTTACTACTGACATCAAAAGAGTTCTTTGAATGTTCCTGTGAATGCAATTTTCAACATGCAGTAAATTCTTTCATGGTGTGTTGTTAAATAATAGAAGCATTTATTGGTTCTTGTTGTGATTGACCAATGATGCAAAGGAGAAGCATATTGAAGAGCAATAGGATATCTTTGGTTAAAGCTTTAAAAACTACATCTCTGTCATTCTTCAATTCATTGGATGCATATGAATATGATCTTGGTCTAGAATCTAAAGCAAGCAAGACAATTTCCTTATTATTTGTAATTCTTTTGATGTAAATGCAGCGCTTCACCATTTTCTTGTACAGCAGTTCTAACAATTTCAAAATCATTTCGATCTCTAATCCAATCAATTTTTAAATCAATTAGTTGATTTTCATCATGATTATTCTGTACATCAATTGCCTCTCTATCTTCTTCCCAAACAGAATCATCACTCGTTCGCGAAGCAATATTCAAACATTGATAATAATTTCAAATATCCTTCTGTGGAATTTCTCTCATTTTGGTGGCCAGTAATTTTGATGAGGAAGATATATCCAAACAACATTGATGATGATCATCCTCCATCATCACCATCAATAAATTATTAGCAGTAGTAACAACTCCTGTATTTCGTTGTTCCATTTTTTTTGATCACCATTATGAGAATCTGAATAGATTCGTTATTGTAGTATATTTTGATCTGAAATTAAGGCAATAAATTCCTCCACTATTAAGATATAGTGTGCCAAGCAAGCACAAGAACTTCAAATTGTTTCATAAATTCTTTGAATAAATTTTCCAAATTTGCCAATAAAATTAATTGTGAATGAACTGCCTTCATCATTATCATATTATTTTATGATTCTTCTGTGATCATAGCCTTTTTTGTGGTATTACAATATTGGATATTCTTTTCAGTTTGGAAAATGTGGGATTTTTCTGGAATTCTTGCAAGTCTTGTGTTTCAACAGATACAGTTAATGTTGTTAAATTGACCAAATTGTTACAGTTTGATACTAGTTCTACATTTAAGTTTTCACCATTCCTGAATGGTCTTACTAAATGTAATTCCTTTAAATTCGAATAGATTGGATTGGTAAAGATAATTTCTGATGCTTCATTCCAACTATCCATTTTCAAATATTCTAAATTTGTCAAGTTTGGAGATTTCATCATATTGAGATGTAATTTCTTTGATTCCTCATCATGTAAAGAATAAACTGATAATTTCTTTAGTTTTGGACAGTGATTAAAGAGTGATGGATAAAATCCAACCCTACAATATCTTATATCTAAATCAGTGAGAGAACTTTGACTGTTTGGAGGAATTTCAACAACTATGTCTTTTTCTTTGCCATCTTCTTCGGCCCATAACGCCTTGCCCTTGAGTGTTGTAAGATTTGGCAAGTTTGGAGAAAACATTAAATCTATAAATTCTTGATTTCTACTTAATTGACAACTGGAAATATCAAGATATGTGAGATTCATATAATTTCCATTCGTAAATAAATTTGGATAACTAACCAAACAATGCTTGCGTATTTGTAGGTGTTCCAAATTCACTTTATCTTTCAGCAGTAAATCCAGCCCAGTAAATTCTAAATATTCCATATTATCAAGGTTCAAATGAGTGATTTGACTCAAATAGTTAGATTCTGAAATTGATTCATATATATCAATTGGAAATTCGTAGAATGAATATGATAAATCCAATTTCTTAACACTGGTCATGAAACTACTGGTAAGCAATTCTATTACCACTTCCTCATCAGATACCCTTTTCGCCAAATTCAATTCTGTCAAATTAGGCATGTGACATTTCATTAAATACTCTACATTTTCCAATTCGATTTCAGATAAATCTAATGATTTCAAGTTATCCAAATTTCTACAATTTACAAGCCATTTAAATGTTTCTGGTTCTTCAGTAGTATCAACCAATTGTAGGTACGTTACATTTTCAATTAGTGAACAATTTACAAATTTATCAATATCAATATCTCTCACTTTCACTTTCAATCCTATTGATTGTCTCCATAATTTAGAAACTAAACCACAACATTCTTTAAGAATATTTGTATCCAAGAATTGATAAATATAAGACAAAATATCGGAATTCAATTTTTCAGAAAAAGCCTTCTTCCTACGCATATCTAATTGTTTCAAAAATTCGTTAATATTTCCAATAAATTCATCAATCATTTCGGTATTCTTTGTAAAATAAATATTATCAACCAGTTTCATCTTGTTTGCCAATGAAAGCAATTGGGAATTAACTGTCGTCATTTCTTCAAATAAAACCGATTCAATATTATCAGCATTATCAAACATTTTTCCATCATCATCATGATGTGATGATTCTTCATGTTTCCTCTTCTTGTTTTGAATTACCGTCATTTTTTTACTTATTTCTAAAATATTACAAAATTGTTTTATTGTTTTATTTACAAAAATTTACACAATGGTCATGATCGATTGTGGACTTAACATTGAATCTTGTAATCACAAGTTTCAACCAAAGTACCACGTCTTTCTTGTTCTTGTTCAATGGATTCAAAGAGAGCCTTAAAGTTACCAGCACCAAATCCTGAATTGTTAGCTCTTTGAATAATTTCATAGAACAAGGTTGGTCTATCTTCAACTGGCTTGGTAAAGATTTGCAACAAGTATCCCTTATCGTCAAAGTCAACCAAAATCTTCAACTTTTGAAGAACATCAATATCTTCCTTGACAGTAATTGGAGCATGAGCTAATCTCTTTCTCAAATTGTCATAGTAAGAGTCTGGAGTTGGCAAGAAGGCAACACCACGAGCTCTCATTTGTGTGACAGTGTGAATAATATCTTCAGTTCTCAAAGCAATATGTTGGGCACCAGCACCACCATAGAAATTAACAAATTCTTCAATTTGTGACATCTTCTTACCCTTGGCAGGTTCATTGATTGGCATCTTGACATTTTCTTCCGAATCAGCCATAACAGTAGAACTCAAAGCACTGAATTCAGTGTGCATAACAGAATCATCAACACTCCAGAATTTGTGGAATCCGAGCTTTTGTTCGTACCAGTCACAGACAGGAGTCATTTCTCCCCATCCTTGATTACCGACAATGTGGTCAACGTACAACAAACCAAGACTTGGAGTGAAATTTTCGAATGGTTCAACAATTGATTCTTCAATAATTCTGAAACCTGGCAAGAATTTACCCTTATATTCGGCTCTTTCAACAAAAGTGTGAATAGTTTCACCATAAGTTCTGACACTAGCAATCTTGACACTTCCCAATTCATCAGTCAAGACAGTTGGTTCTCTGACAGAAATGGCTCCATTTTCGACAGCAGCCTTATAAATTGCTTCAGCATTATCAACAGTGAAAGCAATATCCTTGACACCATCACCGTGTTCAGCATGGTGAGCTGTCATTTCCTTGGCAATAGCACTCTTTGAAGCAGGCAAGAGTGGTGAACTGAAAGCAAGAATTGTATTGTTTTGTCTGATAACGTGGGTCACCAATTCCTTGGAACCAGTTTCTAATCCTTTAAATGCGTATGGCTTGAATCCGAAACGAGAAATGTAGTAATCACGAGCTTGGACGGCATTACCAACCCAGAATTCGACATAGTCAAAGGCAATGAATTTACCAGCTGGAACTTGAGCAGTCTATAATAATGTTGTGTTAGAATAGTTCGGATAACAAGAATATATTGTGTGGTCATCATGATGATGATGATGATTAATTAGTGCGAATGATTATATTGTTGGTTATTAGAACAGAATATTTGTGTGTTGGTACGTACCATCATTATTATTATTGATGTTGTTGTGTTTTTTTCTTGTTGGATTTTTGCTGTATTTTGGCTCAGCACGAATTTAGGCAAATCGGTGTTGTTTGCTGGGATTGAGTTTACAAAACTTAAAATACCGCCAAAGAAGGTTCAACCTATTGTATCCACATGATTCGGATCGGTAGAATTGAATTAGATACTTTTAATGCTCCCTATTGATTGTTTGTTTAGATTGAATTATTGGTGTTATGTTCATAATGATGATGAATTGATGGAAATAAAAATTATTGTAGTGATGAAAAAAATCGCGGTGTGCACTTGTGGAATTTTTTGTTGAAAGTTCCCTTGATATATTAACAAATTCTTTGAAGTGGTGACTTCATACTGAAATTGTTATCATTGATATTGTAATATAGTTATCCCAATGATAGGCTTATTTTATGATAGAAAGTATTTAATTTATAATGTGAAGCAGGGGTTCCCGAGTGGTCAAAGGGGGTAGACTCAAGTTCTACTGCGCAAGCTTCGTGGGTTCAAATCCCACCTTCTGCAACCTTTTTCTTCCTCAATACTATTTTTCGAACCTCCAACTTTTATGGGTATCATGTAGTGGTCCTGTTCTATCACAGAAAGTTGAAATTCTTAAAATATGATAAGTATTTATCGAGAAAATCACCAACTTCTACCATGCACAAAATTCTCTCCAGCTCTAAATGTCAAAACTTAAAGTTCTTTCAAATACACATTAATTTGTGATTATTTTCCATTCCTACCTGCAATCCATAGAAACTGAATAATTAGATTGGAAACGTTTATTTAAATCAATTTTGGATTAAATTATTGACTTCATTCAATTAAACAGTTAATGGAGAAGGTTGGTTGTTTTCACAATTAATTAATAGAGTGACACTAGTGCTTAATGAAAGAAGGAGGAAAATCTATTCTTGCTACAAAACATTCCACTTTGTTGATTTATTTTAGCTTTACATTGCTGGATTACAGATAGGAAAGAAGAACTATCCAACAAGTGCTTAATGTAAGATCATTAGAATTCTAGCACACGTTTACACAATAAATTCTGGAATCCTAAAATGATCTATTTTTTTCAAAACGGAAAAGGTCGGATTGTGTGAGCATTCTTTGCTGACCACCAATTCAGTAATAAATGATGTTAAATTGAACTAGTTCAATATCTAAGCTTTCATCCGATTCCAACAAATTCATCATGCTTTAGATATTGTAGAGTTGTATATTTTCCTTCACTATTGGATTATTGTCCAAAACAAAAGAAACTCAGTATTTCACCGTATGAAGGATGCTTCAAATTCGCTTTATCGTTCAATACTAAGTCAAAATGCTTATATGAATTATTTTTCAATATCAAGTAATGTTCCTCAAAAAATCAAATCATCAATGGTCGTCCCATAAAATCTCGTATATTCAATTTTGCAAAGGTTGGATTCTTCTTGAATTCCTGTAAGCACTCTTTAGTTACCATGTCAGTATAAGGTATTAACGTTGTTAAATTTATCAAATTTGTACAATTTGATACTAATTTTACGTCTACGGTATCATCATAATGAAGTGGTGATAAATGTAATTCCTTCAAATTAGACAAGATTGGATTGGTAAATATAATTTCTGATGTTTCGTTCCAACATAATATGTCCAAATATTCTACATTAGATAAATTTGGAGATTTCATCATATTGAGAAGTATTTTCTTTGATTCCTCATCGGTATTTGCTGGATAAACTATGAGTTTCTTTAGTTTTGGACAATGATCAACAAGTTTAGGAAATGATGCTACTCTGAAGTTACCCAAATCCAAATCAGTAAGTGAACTTTCACTATTTGGAGGAAATTCTGCAACTGATTTGTCGTCATCCACTTCACGCAAATACGTAGCATTTAGACTTGTGAGATTGGGTAAATTTGGTGAAACAATCAAATCTGCAAATACTTGATTTCTAATTTTACAACTGCAAATATCAAGTGAGGTCAAATTCTTATAATTTCCATTTGTTAATAAATTAGGAAGAACATCCAATTGGTAATGTACTGTTTCTAAATGTTCTAAACTGAATTTATCATTCAAGAAAATATCAATTCCATGCTCTTTGTCCGTTATGTATCTATTATAAGTGGACCTATTAATTTTCAAGTGGGTGATTTGATTCAAAATTTTTGATTGTGAAATGGAAGCAAATAAATTCTTTGAACAATTCTCTAAAGATTCACATAAATCCAATTTCTTAATGCTTTTCATAAAACGGCTGTTTAACAATTCTATTGCTGCTGTTTCTGTAAATTGTTTGATATAAGCCAAATTCAATTCTGTCAAATTTGGCATATGACATTTAATTAAATGATCAATGGATGCCTTTTCTAACTTATTACTTGACAAATCTAATGAGTTCAGTTTATCCAAATTTCTACAATTTGAAAGTAATTTAAATGTTTCATCAGTGGTAGAAACCAATTCCAATTGAGTGATGTTTGTAATTATTGAACTATTCAATAAAATGTCAATGTTTTGAGCTCTGACTTTCAATTTCAATCCCTTTAATGATTGATTCCACAATTTAGAAACCAATCCACATCCATGTATGACCGTTGATGTATCCAAGAATTGATAAATCTCTGATAAAACATCCGAATTAAACTGTTCCGAAGAGGATTTTACAGCCTTCTTCTGTTGCAACTCAGCTTGTTTTAAAAATTCATAAAAATTGCCAATAAATTCATCAATTATTCCACTATTGTACATAAAATAACGACAATCAACAACTTTTGCCTTTTTCGCCAATGAAATTAATTTACAATTCACTTCCATCAATTCTTCAAATAAATCCGATTCGTCCATTATTTTTCCATCCTCACAAAATTCATCATCGGAAGGAAATTGTGATGATTCTTCGTGCTTTCTCTTCTTGTTGTTATTTTGTATTACAGTCATTTTTTTTTATTTTAATTTTACAAAATTGTAAATGATTACAATTTCCAATTTAAACTGGGAAATTCACAATTGTAAATCAGAGATTAGAAAAAAAAATGGCAATGATTACCAAAACACCACTACCGTCATCATTTTTATGCTCGGACACCATCACACATTTAATGTTATTCCTCGATGTAAAATCCATCATCAAGTGCTGTTCACCACTTTCTACACAATTTTACAAATGCTCGAAAAGTAATATTTTGTGGAAGGCGATTTATGAACAATTGTTTATGGAGAATTTATTTGGTTGGAGATCAGCGATGATGAGTAGTGTTATTGATCAGGAGGAGGATATGATGATGAAAATTCCGAATCTGATGAAAGTGATGAAGAAGGAAAATTAAAGAGAAAGAAAGCAAGTCGTGTTGTTGACAAAAAAGAAACCAAAAAGCAAAAGATTGAAACCCCAAAATGTGAAGAGAGGGAAGACGACATGTATTGGTTCAATTTATTTAGAAATACTTTGGCGTTTCCAACACTTGACAAGAAATTCGAAGAAATTAAGGAACTTTCCAGTGAAAGTATTGAAAAAATCAGAAAAATTCAAGATAAGGAAACACTTTATGAAATTATTGACCATTTAAAGAGTCAAGATTCTGATGATGTACCACTCATTGATTCTTTCCAATACACATACGAAAGAGCTCCCAAAGTTGAAAAACTCAAAGAAAATTATTTAAAGCTGGCACTCATATTGACAGTCATGTATAATGGATATCAATTTTCATATTTGAAAGATCATGTTGTTATTTCATTGAAGAAAAAGAATAAGGGAAATCAGGACAAGTTTATTTGTCCTCTTCCAACATTCTGCATGTTGATTTTATTCTCAAATGCTCAGGAAAATCTTCCATTTGATAAGAAGCATTCGGATGATTTATTCGTAGCTCCATATATTTCATCTGAAACTGTTAAGAAAGTTAAAAAGAAAAAAAAGAAATCAAAAGCATACGATTCAGATGATTCGATTCTTCCTCCTCTGAAGATGATGACAGACCAAATATTCAATTAAGTGAAAAGGATTGTTGCTTCTTCAACTTGATGGATAATGATGACGATGTTGAAATTTCATCTGACGAAATTAGTTATTCGAGAGATGCAGATACACGAGGTTTCGAATGGTGTCCAAGATTCTTCAATGCTGGAGCATCTAATTATGTTTCCAAATTACATGTCTATTTTGAAAAGAATAAGAAAATAATAGTAAGAAAATTCCAAAGTGAAAGTTATTACTAATAATATCAAATTAATTTATTATTAATTTTTTATTCAAATAATTTTTATTTTTCTAAATTAGAAAAAATATCTCGCAACCTTTATCAACAAATTTTTCACACAAATCTTCTTGATTGGCTGGTTAATGTGGTGATGATGTAGTGGGAATCATGATGTGGGCAAATTATGGCCCAAACATCTAGATGGCCATTAGTAATCTTTTCAACTTACATAAAAAGAACAACATCATGATGAGAAGAACAACAATTCCCAAAGTCATCAATACCAAATTGTTACCAAGCTATTGTGGTATTCAAAGACAATTACCTTCATCTTCATCAATAATAACAACAACAAACAATACGACAGGAGCATCAGAGGAGGAAACCGATTCACAAAGTTTGCTGCCCAACTCCTCTCGTACGTTGAAGCAATATCACAATCCTTCTATCAAGCCTTTTGAAAGGGATTTGATGAATAATGCTCATGGTACAGGCTTTCATGTATTTCGTCCGTATGTCAATTTGGTTGCTCCATCATTTGTTAAAACAGTGCTAGATAATGAACAATTGATGAACAAACTTGATGACTTTGAGAGGCAAGTGATTCAACGAATTATTCAACATATCTATCAAGAGGCAAGTCTAGAGTTTGAATTAGATGATGTAGATTGTTTGTGTAGGTTTTTGTTTCTATTGCAATCGTGTAGTGGAGAGTTGGTTGAAGTGAAGAGGAATCTATTGCAGTGTCTACAACACAAAATCACTGTTTCTAACGTATTGGATGTACTGGATAGTATTGATAATCATATACAGACATTACAATCCTTTGGTAATTCACCTTCTAATGATGATTACAATTTGTTGAATGCTGTCAAGTCGTATTGCTTTAGTTTTATTAGACAACATGTATTTGATGAGGAATTCGATATCAAGTTGAATCCTCGTGTGGAGAAACACATCTTTCACTTTTACAATAAGAAGGAACAAGATTTCATTGAATATCATGAAAAACCAAACGAAAATTCATCACCTTTTATTTTCGAGGAGTTGTTCAATGAAGGAGAACCACTAGAGTATGATTTCACCATTGATTTTGGTGATGGAATATTCATCAGGACACACAAGACTATTCTTGCATCGAATAGTTTATTCTTCGAGTCAATGCTTTCCTCCAGTGGTGCAAGTTTTGTGGATGTGGACAAGAGCATCTTTTATCCGGATAATTCCATCAATGCATCTGCTGTATTGTTGAGTACTGCTATGGAATTCTCAATCCCTCTCACATCAATCAACACAATATTCTTGCTCTCATTCAAATGGCTCACCAACATGACATTCCTTCATTGATGGAACAATGTATTCCTCTTTTGAGACAACTCATTCGTCTCTCCAACGTTCCAGAAATGTTTCAATTTTGTGAGCAATTCTTTTGGCATGACACATTCCTACCCTTTACAAATATCATCATTTCATTTGGATCACTTCATGCTAAATCTCTCTTTAATGCCTACAGCAAACAGAGCCTCAGCGATACACCCCTCACATTGAGTGCCATCTTTGAGCTCTATCTCAAGAAGTGATGAATTTTTCAAGATGCTTAAGATATCTTCAATATCTTGCCAATTATGAGCAAATGATAAATAAACTCATCGGAGAATAACGCAATCCAACCCCGCTAAAAAACATTAAATATTAAAAAAATGCAAAAACTCATCACTGCTGTACTCGTCTTGTTGATGATTGGTTTTATTGGTGCAGAGGAATTATCCTTCCATCAACGTAATCCATGCTACAAGAGGGATAAAAGATTTGATCAAAACGATCCAAAGTACGTCCGTGAACATTTAGTTTCACCAAAGCCTCATACCTATTTGAAGCCACAAGATTTGCCATCATCATGGGATTGGAGAAATGTTTCTGGAGTTAATTACTTGTCCGTGACACGTAATCAACACATTCCAACTTATTGTGGAAGTTGTTGGGGTAAGTTTTTATTGTTATTCTTTGTAATTTATAATTTTAATATTCTTGTTATTGTTATTGTTGTTGAACAATATATTAATTGATGAAAATTCATGGTGATGATTTTGGATGATCTACTTTGAAAATAGCTCACGGTAGTACTTCTGCTTTGGCTGATAGAATTAACATTGCTAGAAAGGGTCAATTCCCACGTGTCTTGTTGAGTGTTCAACACGTTATCGCTTGTGCTGATGCAGGCAGCTGTTATGGTAAGTTTTATTCTTGTTATTGTTGTTATAATTGACTTGATGTAAAGGTGGTGAAGATACTCGTATGTATTATTGATATTAATTTAAAATACTAATTAGTATTTTAATTTATTATTTGATCATATTGGAATTGATGAATGAATTTAATAATTTTGGAATAATTAGCTGTCTATCAATATGCTCATGATCACGGTATTCCTGATGAATCATGCAACAATTACAAGGCCGTTAATCAAGATTGTTCTGCTTTTGCTGAATGTGGATTCTGTAATTCAACTGGATGTCATTCCATTTCAAATTACAAAGTTTGGAAGGCAAAGGAATATGGTGAAATCGATGGAGAACATCAAATGATGAGTGAGATTTATGCTAGAGGACCAATCAGTTGTGGTATTGATGCTACCTCTGCTTTGGAAGCTTACACTGGTGGTATCTTTGCTCAATACAGAGAAGATCCTTCCATCAATCACATCATTTCAGTTATGGGTTGGGGAGAAGAAAATGGAAAGAAGTTTTGGATTGTTAGAAACAGTTGGGGACAACCTTGGGGTGAACAAGGATTTTTCAGGTATGTAAATTAGAACAACTTATTTTAATATTATTTAAATAATATTTCAATTTTTATATTTTATTAATAATTTCACACAAATTCCAAATATGTTAATACTTTTTTTACAACAGAATTGTTAGAGGTAATCAAGATTACAATCTTGCCATTGAAACTGACTGTGCTTTTGCAGTTCCACTCGTTTAATCATCCAATCTTGAAATAAACTTAATTTATTACAATTTCAATATATTCACAGTTCTGACACAATGAAGGTTATCTACCACTATTCTCAAAATTACACCGTAACACTCCAAAAGCAAAGGTTACCTTTTCCAACACACCATTGCTTGAAAAATCAACGACTTGCGCGTAAGAATCAAATCTTTTCATCTTGAAAAAAATGTCAGAAATTGGAGCTAATCATCAACAACAAAAGATTGTTGATCATACGGGAGTGAAGGGTCGCTCTGGGAAGAGAGGAAGTGAGTAAGTTGTTGTGTGTTGTTTTTGGGTTGTTTGAACTGTTTTTGATCGTGATCAATTTGTTCATCTCATCATGTGTGGGATAAAACAGTGGATTGCACGGAGCAATCGGAGAAGAGGGAAAGCATGCATTGAATGCAACGTATGGGTGTGAAGGTGAGAGTGGTGGGAGGTGAGTAGTTTTGCTTCTATTATGTGTCGATTTACTTTATGAAGAGGTGGAAATGGTTATAGTGGTGGACATGGAGGGCATGGTGAGGATGCAGAGAGTGGCATGAATGGAAATCCAATTAAGATCATTCTGGAGGGTGATATCAGTTCTAATAATATGGTAGTGAGTGGAGATTTGGAATATAAAGGATGTGTTTGTGAAATTTCATGTGTTTCGAATGGAGGCGAGTAAGTGTTTGAGAAATTTTGTAATGTTGATTGAATATTTTAAGTGGTGGTAATGGAGGAGAGTAAGTTATTGATGGATTTGTAAAGTTATTTAATGAAAAAAGTGGAGGTAATGGTGGAAAGTAAGTAGTTTATGTGAATCTTTTCGAATGTTTTTAAAGTGGTGGAAATGGTGGAAAGTAAGTAGAAAGCCTCAATTATTTATTGGAATACATTATTCAAACTTTAGAGGAGGAAATGGTGGTATTGGCGGGAAGGGAAAGAAGGGAACAAAAGGGCACAATGGTGAAGAGTAAGTTGACTGTTAATTATTCAAAATCCTAAACTAAATTTAGAGGAAAATCGTAAGTTTACAAGATGTTGATCAAAATTCTAATGATGAATCAGTGGTGGAGAGTAAGTAAAATGTTTGAAAATTTTTGATTAATCATTTCAAAAAAGTGGTGCTGATGGAGGAGAGTAAGTTTTTTATTGATCTACTTGAGAAAATTTACACAAATTTTACACAGTGGAGGTTATGGTGGATGTGGTGGTTACGGAGGAAGGTAAGTTGACACAATTCATTGCATTTGGATTATTAAAATTCAGAGGTGGAAATGGAGGAAATGGTGGAATAATTCACATTGATGCAATCAATCCATACTTGTTAGATTATTGTTTTGCAACGAGTAGTGGAGGTAAATATGGTTTGGGAGGTTCTGCAGGATCGGCAGGACAAGGTGGATTGGGTGGAGAGTAAGTATTCTATTGTGACACATTAATAATTACCTTAATGTGACAATAATCAAGATTTGGCATTGGAGGGTGAGTTTTTTAGTTTAATTATTCAAAATTGTTTACATGAGTGAAAACAGATCTGGTGGAGAAGGAGGAGAACCTGGAGAATCAACCAAAAAGATTGTCAGTATAAATCCGAAAGATAATTCACCAATTGAAGAAGAAATCAAATACGAAAAAGGAATTCAAGGAAGATCAGGATTAAATGGTAAAACTGGAAGTATAGGAGGAAATGGAACAAGTGGGTTTAATGGTCACAAAGGAGTTGATGGAAGTTCTGGAACAATTTTATATCGAATTCTCGATCCACAAACCAGATTAGTGAAAGAGCAATCTCCAATCAAGTACAAAATTTACATGTCTGATTTCAAGATTATTCCAGTTGTGGATGATGGAATTATTGAACCAGGTGAAGAAATTTTAATCAAATCATTCAAAATTAGAAATAGTGGAGGATTGACTGCACCACCAGGAGCCGTCTTCCAAGTGAATAATGGAGAGAATTTCACATCCAACGGAATGGTTTATTTACTTGGTCAAGCTTTGGCACCAGATGAAGAAATTACTGTAAAGGATTTTGAATTTAAGGGGAAAATAGCTGAAAGAGCAAGAACACAAGTTATGAATTACGGTTCATATAGAGATACTGCCTCTTTTACAACATGTACCAAATATTTTGATAGAGTACACCATTCTGGAAAGGAAGGTTCCATGTTTATTCAATTACCAATTGAAATTCAATCCGTTTCGTCCACAAGAGTTTTGGATAAGAAAGGAAGAGGAAACATTTCAATTATTGTGAAAAATGTGTCAGGTCTCGATAAGGGAGGAGATGGATCAAAGATTGGATTGAGACTCAATTATGATCCTAAAATCCAAGTCAGTGATTTTGGAATTCCATCATGTGTCATGGACAAGCAAAACAGTTCACTATTTATTGATGTGACAAACATTTCATCACTTTCAACATTTGAACAGAAAGTAGAATTTTCAATCTCTGAACATGTGAGCTATTTTGAAAGAGTTTCAGTTTCAGTTACTCTTGTTTACAAAGGAGATGATATTGAGAAACACAATATGGACATTCGTATTGCTCCAAGTTATGTTCCTATTAAGGAAGGTGAGGAAAATCCATACGATATTTTATTCTTTACAGATTTACATATCAGTCAAACCGAATATAATTGCTATATGACCATATTTGATGGATTATCATTGCGTGCCAATGTTTGGGATATTGAGCTCAATAATGGAGTTTCGTATTTGAATGATGATGGAGTGAATAGACATAGAGATAGTTGGATTATTGGAAATCAAGGAAAATCAATCGTCTTTCCAATGAAACATCCAAAACAAATTGAATTGATGAATCCTAAAGATATTGTCCAAGTTTTGAAAAGCTCAGTTGATGGAGGTTTGATTCTAATTGGTGAATTGACCACTGACGAATTCATATCACACATGAAGACAGGAGCTACTGAAACTCCAATTCCGGATGATGTCATTTCAGATAGTTTCGTCTTTTCCAAGCCAACTGAAGAAATTTTCAAGCAAAAATGTGAAGAATTTGTGAAACAACTTTCCAATGCCACCATTGCTTCAAATATTTCATTAGGAGAATTGAATTTCAAACCAAGAAAGATAGGAACACTCAAAACCCTAATGGGAGATGCTAAATATTTAGTCGTTGGATTATCAGCAGCTGCCAATTGTTATGGATGTCATTTTCCATCTAAGGATTTCCTGAGCTTTTCATCTGACAATAGTGGAAAACTTGTGACATCTCAAGGAAAAGGATTAATATTCCTCTCCACCTTGTTATCCCTTCCAGTTCCAAAGTTGTTCCAAATTCTCTCCAAACCAACGGATTACCTCAAAAATCTTACATTTTCAAATGAATATTCTGGAAAGGACGAAACCTACTATGATGTAATCATTTGTGCAATTTATTGCCGTCTCTATTCCTGCTTAATATTCAATGTCAGATTAGAAGAAACTCTCTTTTCAGTTTTGGAACAATCCGAATCTCTCATCAACACTTCAACAGTAGATTCCTCCCTCAAGGATGCTATATTCGAAAGTCTATTCGTTGCCTTCTGTCATCTCCATTTCCAAATCAAATGGAAAGTCTCAACCTTCAAAACCATCCAACAAAAAGAACTCTACGATCGCTTCATGGACACTCTCTCACTAATCCTCTACAAACAAATTGGTGAACAAAAATTGAAAATTTTCAAAAAGAAAATCAATGAAAAGGTGAAAAACTTGCAAAAAGATAATTTTTTGTATCCGTTTGATGGAGTTTTGCAGAGATTGATGGTTGGTGGAAATCATTTGGCTGTAGAGAAGGAGATGAGAGTGGTGGAGAGTAAGGTGCCGAGTGGAATATTTTCGTCAGCAACGTCAGATTCACCTGCACATTTCTTGGATTAGTTTGAATTAGTTTGGATTAGTTTGAAATATTATAAATTACAATTATTGTGAATTATTTTGAATTATTTTGAAAATTATTAAAATATATATCATGAATGTGGTGGAAAGGATTCTCAGAAACCTTTCAAAAAAAAATATTCGAAATGCTACGAAGCAAGATAACGCTGAAACGTTTATTCATCTTTATCGGAGGTGCAGCCATTCTTTATTACATACTTTCTGTCTTTCTAACACATAACCATCAGCATCAACATGCCACTCGTCGTCAATTAGAAGAATCTAATACGAAACCTTTCCATGATAAATTACCGAAACATGTCTCGTTAGTAAATATTAAACCACTTGCAGTTATTCCTCCTCTTCAAATGTATACTCTTCAATCCCAGCAATGTGAAGGAACTCTTTATAATAGAGTTTCGCCTAGGAAGAAACGAGACGAAAGTGATCCTTGGCCTAATTTCTCACCATCTACTTTTGCTCACGAAACCAATTTCATTAAATGGCTGGAAAATAATGGAAAATATTGGAAAGGAATTTCCAGAGGTTTAGACGGAGAAGAATTAAATACTGAAAAACTAAAGCTGAATAATTTGGGATTTACTTTGAATGGACATTTGACACCAAAGGAGGGGCATTTACCTATTTGGTTGAAAGCATTCAAGAGAAGAAGTCCTTTGGATATTTCACTAGCTGCCATCTGTCAAATTGATGACATTTCTGATACAATTCTCTATGTCACAATTGATGGTGGAGATTTTGATGAAGTTTTGGAAGAATTAGTTAAAGTTACTTGTGTGAAAATCAAAGTTTATTTCCACCCATACTTGACAGATATGAGAAGTTTAGGAATGGATAAATTAAAACAAGATATTGGACTAATTTTGAATTCACATTACATTTATGGAATGTACATGTTAACTCAAAAACTTGATTATCCATATGTGATTACATTGGAAGATGATTTGGAAGCAAGTCCTGATTTTTACAGATATCATTACAGTTTGTATCATTTGGTGTATGGAAAGGAAGCTAATTATTATGATAGCAAGAAAATATTTGCAATTACTGCATTTACTCAAGGTTCAACTGTTGATTGTCATTTCCTAGTTGATAAATTGAAAAATGACAAGTCCTCAAAGTGTGGAATTCATTCAGTGCATCAATTGGTCGAGGAGGATTATTTTCCTGGATGGGGAAGTGGAATTACCAGGGAAATATTTATGGAATATTACAGTCAATGGAAGGTCAATGGTAGAATTTATGATTATGGAATGAGTCAACTGAGAGTAAGTGAACAACGATACACTCTTGTGCCTTGTTCTCCTCGTGTAAGAACCATTGCAAATGAAGGTGTGAATGGAGGAAATGCTGGAAGATGGGACCATTACCTGACACATTATGCAAAATGGGATGAACAGCCATTGGATAGAATTTATTATGTGGATAGAATGGATGGAGCTGTTAAGGCAGAAGAGAAAGGAAACTTTATGTACAATCAAATTGTTTAAATTCTGAATGATGAATGGAAATTGAAAATTATATGATGAAGAAGCATCAACTGAATGATACTCTTAATTTTCATAACATTTTGATAGTAAAGTGGTAGTTCCATCGAATGGTTCCTCTATTTCAATATTAGATATTTTGCTTTCGGCCTTCTTTATTTCCCCGGATTTTAAAATCAATAATTCAGAATCCGAAGCAAATATATGCAACATTAGCATTATTTTTACGTATTTCACCAACTAATTCGAAATTATAATTGGTATTTTGTAAAATTTCATGTTGTGTCCTAATTATCGCACTTGGAACAATATTAATAAGACATAAATTGTTTGGTGTTGAAGATTGTACTCTTTCTACCTCATTTCAGTTCAGATAGTATCCAAAATCTATGTGGCTCTTCCAAATAATGTACTTAGTATTCAGAGTTGATTTATTTGGGTTATTTAAGAGATTACTTAGTGAAGATTTATATCATTGATTATATTTCTTATCATCTATTAATGATGTAAATTTGATGGTTTCATTTCTTGTATTGATAGATATTTAAAGGTCAGGTCAGTACTAACTTTTGAATTATGGACTTTTAGAAGTCAAATGTTTGGGACGTGAATCTACTCATTAGATTGAATAGGGTTTGCTAATAAAGAAACATTTCATTGATTTATTGATTATAACGGTCAAATTGAGTTGAATGGAAGTGAATCTAATGTTGATTCATCGTGGATGGGTAGTTTCGCCACGAAGTGGTGCAACTACCAACCTTTGTAGATTGAATCAGGTTGATTTGCATGCAATATGAATAAGTAACATGTAAATTGTAATATTTATTAACGTCTCTTGTATCGTAAAGACCTGAGAGGTTGGTTATCGTTTCGTACTCATTGGATCTTCATTATTATTGAAATACATAATCAATGATATACATCATTAAATAGGTTACAATCTCAGCTATCCAGTGGGCTATAGATTGTGTATGGTTTCTTATCTAATTATTGAGATAATCAGCAATTCCTCACTCAATATATTGCGATTTTACTATTCCTAGGGAAAGGTAAAAGAATGATCAGAAATTGATCAATAAAAAATATATGTCATACTAGAGATGATTTGCTATCGATGGTGTTCAACT